GTATCTTCCTCTTTAACTTTTCTAAAAAACAAAGCATTACGTATTTGGTTAGGTGGCATGCAATGGCGACTCGCCATTGGCTGCTGGTCGTATCAAGTTGCGCATTTCTAACATGTGAATGAGTCATAACGTTCTAATTGATTTTCTGTGTCGTGCCGTTAAGATAATTTTGTCTTCTATCAAAAATTCATGCTTTGTTCCCATTTTATTTTAACTGGTCCATTCTTTTATAGTATCTGTCCGTATATGGCGTTATGGGGGCAGTTAGGAAGTTTGAAGAGCACTCAAAAGGCTAGAGTTGCCCGTGTTTTTACGCTAAAAATGGACTATTTCTTTTATTTACTATTGTCGAAAGTATGCAATGTTGTTTATTCGTCAAGCAAGTCTTAGCAAAAGTATTTTATCCTCTTTAAAAAAATCCATTTATTGTCCCATAAGAGGACAAAAAAAGAAACAGGTGGTTTAACCAAGAGTATAAACTCGATCAATACATGCATGGGGTATCAAATTCAAGCTCATTAAACAATTTTGAAACAATGCCAATTGCTATGAAATATTTCGTATTTCCTAGCAAATTTTCCTCTTTGACTAGATTTCTTCTTTTCAGTGTGCTACGTAGCTGATCTCGCATAATTTTTTTGCTAACGGAAAACAAAAGTACAAATTCCATCAGTTTCAAATCTAATCCTAGCGAGACTCAAATTTTATTAAACCTGCTAAGAGAACAATTGTACAACGGAGCGATTCTTAAGAAGTCACCAGAACGCAGAAGCAATTAGAGGCCAGAGAAAAGTATAAGTCAATACATACTTTATCTAGTTGCACGGCGACTTTTATTTGCTATAAGGGGTGAAAAGTTCTGAATTTCCAACAAGTTGAAAAAACTTGATAAAGAGACTAAGAAGCGGTAATGAGGAACATTCCCCGCAGGCAAATTCATTTACAGCCAAATAGGATGTCATTGGCCGCTCGTTTTGCAAATTTCGAAGGAATTTGTGGGTTTCTGTTCCTCAGTCCATTCATCTGAGAAGGGTGGAGGTAATGCAAATCACAACGCAAAGCGATCGTCCAGCTTTGACTGCTTGCGGTTTCTATAAGACACGCGGAAAAAAGGACTAAACATGACTCAAATATGGGAGAGGAACATTCATACCGGCGAAAAATCAGAAGAATGTTAGAAACAAACCAGTGGCGAATTATTTGACCGGTATTCTGCAGAATGCAACGTCAATTAACCTGAGATTTAAACTGAGTAATAAAACTGAGGAATAGGCTAAAATTTTCTGGAAATCGTCAAAAAACTAACTAATACCTGAGAAGAAAAAGAAGAAGAAGAACAACAACAAGAGGAGGAGAAAGACAAAAACATTACACGTCTGGTCAGGTGACATAAAATTGTCAGTGGTTTGCCCAGCCTTAGCTATTGGTCGTATGCAGTCGCGCATTTCTGCTTTGTGACCATGAATAACACTGAGTCTCATATTTTGTTCAGTTGGCAATAACATCAACTTGAAACTGCACGACAACGTTTCCGTAATTGCAAAGTTAAGGATATTTATCCGTGACCTTAATTTGAAAAAAAGCAAAGTAATAAATAATAAAACAGCATAAATTTTTACCCTCTTCAAATAATGGTTGACCTATTCATGTTATTGGAACAATGGATATTTATTTCAGGTTTAAAACATATCTCTAATTAAGATTCCTGTGGAATTGAATTTTGCCTCTATTGCCCATGAGAATGTTATGCAGACGCACTTGATTATAAGTTTTACAAAAGCCTTTCTCCTTTGGGCAACCATATCCTCTAGAAGAACATAGCAGAGTCTATTGATTCTGAGGAGAGCGTAACTTGTCATGCGGACAAAATAATTCTCTCCAAGTTTAAACTACGTTAAATTAACGAGTTCTGAAGACAAGAATGAACTCAAGAAGCAACATAATTTCTTTATAAAATAGCGCCTAGGCAATTTGCAAAACTGGACGATAAATGCAAACTAAAAAAATTATGCATGGCTCCTTCAAGTAAGTCACTTGAATGGACTTGTTGATAGAAAATATTCTTAGACAAAAATGAGAAAGAGGATATTTGAAATTATTGGACTTATTACAACAAAAAGCTGCTTATAACTACTTAAAAAAAGACCTTATATTGTTAATTTTTTAAGATGCACGCTTGGTACCCGCTTTGATGTCTCCCATCCCACTTTAATTTTTGATATGTGTTTTTCTTTTCAAAAAAGAACTTTGTGCCGCTAAAAAGACAATAAAGTGACTCTAATAAAGGCTCTAGACCCCCAAAATGGTATTTTCTAGGATCCTAATTTTTAAAAAAGGATATACAACCTCGTCAGGAGAACTCCTGACCTCGTACGTAACATGCTCTATATCGAGTAGTCTTGTTACCGGCACAGCAAATTTCCAAATTCTTGCCTGATTACGTAGCCAAGGTAAAAGTGCGCAAGAAAGAACGAGATGCGGGAGGGAAGACGAGACGGGAGGGCAGCTCCCTCCTCCTCGCGTGTCTCTCTCGCTTGTCTCCCTGAGATCCTTTCTGTGAGATAGGCTTTTACTCTTCACAATACATTCGTGCAATTATTCTCTCATTCGTTACGCTTATTTAAGTTGGTGGTTTTAAATTTCTCGCAAATTTATGCAATTGCTAACTTGACCTTGAAATTGTCAATCTCTTGGTATTTTTTACGGTTTATTGATTGTTTTCAGTGCCACTCTATAAAAAATATAAAAACTGAAGGCATTTAATAAAAAAGTTAAGAATCTTGAGAAATAGAAAACGATAAAGATCTTCGCCCAAATCGACCGCTAGGTCTTTGCGGTTTTTCTTGATTTTACCCAAATCCGGGCGGCACGAAAACTTTGACGTTCAAAAGTGGTCTCTTCAGTCTACAACGTAGTAAACGACTATCGAACTGAAAATTTGTAAAAAGCAGCTCTTACATTTCATAAAAGTGAGAACTCAAAAAATTGATAATGCTTACTTTGAAATTTTAAGTCACATACTCGGCTATAACCTACTCTCGCGTAATTAAGAAAACGTGTGAGAAAACCTTTCACCTTGTCGCTGTGGGTAAAAGAGTTAAACCTAGCGAAGAGTTTACCATGCATCTCGTTACGCTAGCTGTCGAGGTAACCTTATCTGTCTTGTAACGTTAGGGTCTTTATGGGCCTTTTGCTCGGCAGGGTAACCCTAACTAACTATGCCCTAACCGCCTAGGGTCTTGATGATTGGATGCTGCTAATACTCGTTATGATAATTTGCATTTCTCTTTAAAGGTCAAACCAAGTTAATGCATTTTCTACTCGCACTGGGCAGTAAAATGAGTTGTTGAGTACTTTGACAAACACCAGATCAGGTCATATTTAGTTTGTTGATTCAGATTAAAAGCCAAGGGAGTGGTCATGCCACAGGGCGCAGAGGAGTTATTTGTGACCTTGATTGTTGATTGTAGTTAAATTTTACGGTTGATACCACGCATTGCCTTTGTTTTTATACTGTATACTAATCAGACTAATCGAACTGTCATTCGATCAACTTGTAAGTAAAATTTTACAATTCATGAAAGCAGAACGAACATGAAAATTGGCACTTGCTTCTAATATATCTGCCCTTGCAACTACGACGCCACATTTTTGTTCTCATTGGACAGACCTGTAACTATGTACGATGGCTACCAGTTTACCTTGCTTATATAATATTCAGTTAGTGTTAGTGACCTTAGCTTAAGATACACCGGTTCTGCCTACGGCTACTGGTAGGCGACTAGTCAAGCAACTGGAGTCACGACACTCAAAAGTGTATCAAGAATTTTTTGCTGAAAATCACTCCATTAGCTGCAGTGATCAGACATTTTCTCGATTTTCAGCTAACACAACCCTGGAGCAATATACGTGACCGACTGGAAGCCAAAGGGTGGGAGTGTTGGCATATCCCAAAGTCCAAGATCGCTAGAAAGATGGTTTCTAACTATTTACCAAATAGCCTCATAGCTCTGAGAAAGGTGTGTGGTTCTGACAGAAAGTGACCACGTATTGAACAAAGCAACGTGAAAGCAAGGAAGCTGCCGGGAAAGAAGAGAGTGAAGCGTTATGAAGAAAACGTCAGTAAGCTAGTTGACTGTTTTTCCTCTGGTTTAATGAGTAACCCTTTCGTCCAAGAAATGGAGTCTCTTGTTAACTTTGCCACTTGTGTAGTACTGACTTAAAATGTTGCAGAGGATCTTGTTAGCAGTAATGAGAAAGGTCGACCACAGACGAAAAATTTTGTACACTAATACTGTAAATCTTTCGGATCCTGTTCCGAGCTTGAACGTAAAGACATTTAGTGCCATGTCCTGCCAAGAAAAGTGTATGTTAAGGCTGCAGATGACAAGGTTAATACTGGATAGCGCTAACAATGACCTCTTTGGGCGGCTACATATTGCTGCTAACACCCTACAAATCAATTTGAAAGAAGCTTTGTGCTATGAGTTGTCCCCAATTCCCTGCGCACTCGCATACCAAGATGGCAACTTGTGAAAAACTTATAAGAGTATTCTATTAACCACAATTGAGACAGACGTCGACGTCGTTCAACAATAAGTAACTTACTATTTTTTAGCGATTTTTTTAAACAAAGAATTAGGAAGTAAATGGTGATTCAGGCTCCAGCCGCGTTTTCATGCTGGACCGAAAGGTGCGTGAGACAAAAACCCCGTTTACTCCTAACCTATACCACAAATCGACCTTACAAATTATTAGGCAATAATCATCAGGAGGTCTTGTTCAACCAAAATCCGATATCAAACCTTTAATGACCCGTGGGTTGAACGAAACGACAATTTTCCGACCGCAGCTACTGGGCTATATCGCATGACGTTTTGATAGGTCAAGTTCATGGTCGATTCTACAGTTAACAGAGGCGCGACTCGTGCGATCGGCTATATTTGCTTCGCTTGCCATCCCTTGAGTAACTGCTCTGCGCCCAGCTGCGCCCTGTGGTCATGCCAAGCAATAAAGAGGAGAAAATGCAGATCTCTAAGCTGAAAAAGTCTTACGAATTCGATGATCTTTTAGCCATGGTCGGCGGTTTCGGTCGATATAACTTTCTGCTGTATTCATTTTTGTGTGTGATGACAGTACCCATCGGCTTGCAGCAGCTTGTACAGGTGTTTTACGGCGCAACTCCTAAGTATTCCTGCGTTTCTTTTTCACACACACTGGGAAACAACACATGCACAGTTCTTAAGGCTGGAACATGTTGTGAAAAATGCACAGAGTACAATTTTAGCGGCCGTTTGACTAGTGCCGTGACAGAGGTAAGAGTTACTTTACTTTATACCTGTTTGTCTGTCTGTTTGAGGTGTAAACTGTTAAGCTTTAAGCTTGTAGTAGAAACTGAAGTTAAAATATGACGCGTGTGAACGAAGAAAAACTTTGTAAAGAAATTTACATGTAACCCTGACACAAGTCTGTCAGTTTCATATGTCCTCGTCTAGCAACCTTTAACACCGACTGATTACGTAAGTTGCGCTGGCTCGCTTTGCCAAGATAGCTGAACGTTTATTAAACTAAATAAAATCTTGAACTATGGGAAGCCAAATGTAGCAATATTCAATTAGTTTAACTTTATATGTAGTCTTGTATTATGTATTCAACTATGTGTTTAATATTCAACTAACGCGCTATTCAATATTCAACTTTCCATTCAGCATTCAACTATTCATTTTATATTCACTTCTTCATTCACCCATTCATTTTCTATTCAACAATTTCAACTACTTATTCAACATGCAACTATAATTTTTAAACATTCAACTATTCATGCAAGATTCAACTATAATTCAAGATTCAACTATTCGTTTCAGTTCATTAACTCTTTTGAGCCCTCTATGGGGGACATGGTTGTTCACGGTATAGGCTTTTTTTCAAGCGGTATTTCGGTATTTTTGATTTTAATATACGGTATTGCGGTATCATCTAGCCCTGCGGTATACGGTTTTGCATCCTTTTGGTTAACGGTATTCGGTAGAAGAAGAGCCTTCACGGTACTGTAGTACCATTTATTTGCGCTCTTCTGTCTAATACAGATCAGTACAATGTGCAACACGAACGACAGTAAGCTAAACAGGTTAATAACAGTTAATATTTCAAGACTTTAGACTAATAACGGTAAATGATTATACAATCTATGACAAAATTGGAAGGGCATCCAATGACCGGGCTTTTTGATAGTTGTACCGATCAAGGTCTTCTCGCGTTTCCTCCCAATGTCTGAGGTTGATTTCTGGTGCATACATGCTTGAGGTAAACAAACACGCGAGGTGAATACAGCTTTAAGTAAACGTGTCCGGTCATAATTGAGGTATCGGTATTTCGTCGATTTTTGACACGGTATTTCCGTATTTGCCAATTTTTCTTGCGGTATTGCGGTATTGGGTACCCCCCAATGTCCTCTTCTCTATGGAACGCCAAGCGTGACAAAAGTGTGGTACTGTGAAAACTAAAATGTAGGTTGTATCACTGAATATATGCTGCACTGTGTTGTAAATGGGTTGAAAATTGCGTATATATAGCTTACGGCGAGACAAATACAGGTTGTAAATTTGAACATATACAGACTTCGATTTTTGAAAACCAGGTTAGCAAAAATATCAACTCATTCTACTACCTGGCAATTTAAAGCAACAAAACTTATTCAAAGGCCGATTAAAAGCCTTTATCTGACGCCGGGCAGTAGGTTAGTGGTCCCTAGAAGCATTCCAACGAGTCCAAATTTAAAATGACTCAAATTTTAGAACATTTATTCAGTAAACTGACTTCGCGAAGTTTCAAATCGGTGTCATTTCAGTCTAGAAATTTTTAAGTTGAGTGAACTGCAGCGAAAGAGTGCCTGGTTAAGGCTTACATAACAACTTAAATAGTTAGCAAAACACTACTTTTTCCGCGGTTCGATAGACAACAGAATTCCACATGGAATAGACAACAAACTGAATGAAACTTAGTGCACAAATTATCACTTTTTCTATCTGCAAAAATCGGCTTATGGTTCAATACCATTAGAGCCCGCTGAAACTAGACCTAGATCCAATTTTCCTGAGTCGAGGGTTGCTTTTCCAAGGTACAATCAGTTAAGCTAAACACCGACGAAACGATATTAATGGCTGGCACAGAATATTTTGGCCAAACCGCAGTTCAACCACGCGATCACATACCTGTCAACACCATGCGGAAATCACACAATCACACACTTTCGCGGCACTTATAAGACTCTCCCGGCCACAACCCCGCATAATCTTCTCATGGGCTATTGACTCAGCCGCCTTTGTTTTGGTTTTCAAAGCCGGCGCTTTTCGCTGCTGGTATATAGGCTGTAACACATAGCTTAGTAGTAGCTCAACCAACAAGAACGCAGCATTGATAATAGACCGCTAGTTGGATTCTGTTAATGATGCTTAGTTTCCCCTGTACCGAGATAAAGTCACCTCACGGCGAAGCGTGCCAGCCCGGGCAGCTCATGTTGGCTTGTGTTACCAGTACATTAGACTATATTTGTTGTTCAAGTTAAATCAAAGAAGCAAGACTTTTCGCTTCCAGCATATCATCAGCTAGTAGGCGAAGGGAGGCTAAGTATTTCGCTCTCTGACGCCCACAATATAAACGGTCATCAAGCACGCAAAAATGCGAGACACTCTAGCTTACAGTGCACGTGCAAACGGGCGCAACTCTCCCAACATTGTTGGGAGCTCCAAAGAGGGTAAATAAGGGCCTGTTTACATGGAGGTTTGGGGACCCCAGGTAGGTGAAGTAACATGCGGCGGGTCACTCCTTCTATCATGTAAACGTGATCAAATTAGAATGAGAGATTATGAGGACAGGCGGGTTACCCACCAAAGCGGGTTACCTCACCTACCTGGGGTCCCCCACCTCCATGTAAACAGGCCCTAAAGGCGGCTAGAATCGAATCGTGCCATAATGAACTGGGATTTCCTTGAGTTAACCGAAGAAGTAGGAGTGAGAAAAGTATGAACAAAATCGTCTATAAACCAAAATTTCTCACCTCCGCCACTTCCTCCAAAACGTTTCACTTTAAACCCTTGTTGTGTGTCACTAGGCTAACACGACTCACCTACTCAGCACTGTTTTCAAAATACAACGCATCCGGAATTAGTGAGATAAAAAGGTCCACGTTTCACTGTTCAACTTCTTGTATATTTTTCAAAAATGGTGACAAACAAAAGCACATAAAACGCTGTAAATAGCCTTTAAAAGCGAAAAGATGTAATTTGTTATAGAATTAAATGTGGTCGATCTAAGCTGATCTTACTTGAATTCATAAAAACAAATAAAGTATTCAGAACACACTGTTAACATAACATCTACATATCCGATTATCTTAGAATGGAAATTTTCCTATATAAAAAAATCGCCAACGTTTCATCTGCGAACGAGGGTCAGAAAATAGATACCAGCTCCCGGGCGAGAAAAACTGAACACATGAGATCGAGGCAAAATGTGCCAGGCCGGTCCAAGACGGCATCCAAACCGTGAAATCGCATGGCATTCGGAACGGTTACTACATCGTGTACGGTACACGAATAGTAAGCGTTCTCCTTCGTTGAACGCAAATATACATCAACTTGCTCTGTTTTTCTTTCTTTTCTTACTATTTCTTTCTTTCTATTTTCTCTTCGTTTTCAGTGGGACTTAGTATGCGATAGGAAGCACTTGAAAGCGATGACCCAGACCGTTTACATGGGCGGGCTGTTGGTTGGTTCGGTCGCCTTCAGTGCTTTGTCTGATCATGTTGGTCGCAAGATCGTGGCTTTCCTCAGTATCTTTTTCCTGGTAAGTATACCCAGGTGCAAGGATGCTAACCTAGCTTCAGAAAACAGCCGACATTAGGTGACTCCACCACTGGTTTCCCTGCGAAATGACGTCAGAGAAACGAACGCAGAAATTCCATACTGATGACGCGTCCTAAGCGGCGCGACCAATCAGAAGCCCTACCCAGATCTGGGTAGTGATACGTCATCAGTTTGAAATTCCTGCGCATGTTTCTGTCGCAAGAAAACCATGGCGTCGCGAAATGTCGGCTGTTTTCTCAGGGTATTGCTAACGTAGCAGGAGCCTTTTAACCAGATATATCACGGACGGTTACTCTGACTTTCTCGTTTCTATTAGTTATTAGAGTTAGCTTAAAACACTGCTAACAATGCTCCGCCTATAGTCATCATGATCTCATTTTAGCAGCTAAGAGAGGCTACATGAAAACGGTCGCAACAACTCCTAACATTGCTGGTCCAACAATGTTGAGAGTCACGTGATATTTCAGGAGTGCAAACCAGTGATAAAATTTGCCAATTCGAGTAATCGCGTACCCTGGTCCCAGAGGTTTTTCTTGATTTTTCTTCGCGAAAGAGATCAACAGCAACCCGCGAAGCAGCGACAACGAGTCGCGTAAGCGACGAGGAGAGAGAGAAAAACCTCTGGTTACCTTGGCCTCGAATCTCACTTTCATGCAGACGACAGCTGTCAAACGCGTCAAATTGCTAATAAAAAGAGTGACCAATGGCAACTTAGCAAACACGTGCTTATCAGCCGCTATTTTTTTAAGTGGGGGTAGACCTGGGGAAATTATGTTATGAACAAACCATCTTCACTTGGGTGGTAAAGAGTGATTTGTTAATCGGGGTCAAGCTAAAGCATGTGTTAACGATGGGCGACAAGAGTCCAGGAATAAGAAGACCACTTTATAAAGAAACCGACATTGTTCCAAACGAATGCTGCAGGATTTGCAGAATTTATTTGGGTATAATAACAAGGATTTTTTCACAAACATTGTCATCTGTTCTGTCAGCAGTGTGCCAGGGGAAGTTGTAAAGTTTGCAAGAGTCTATCAATCGCGCTTATTATATTGTTTACTTCTGCGGGGCGCGCCGTTCGCGTCGATTCGCAGGCATTCACCCCAAAATAATAATATTTATAATGTATTCTGGCAATCTGGCTCGCATTTTGGTTTGGCGGCTCCATTTCCTTTTTTGTGGAACGACAGCGCTAGGAAGAGTCATGCAGCACAACAAACCCTTAAGTTTCGGAGTGTACGTTCAGAGGTTTTGTTGGCCCAATAGACCTATTCGGCTAACTCAATGTACCGAATTCAAACCCTTTGAGAATAAAACGTTTTGTTTCAGGAATTTCCATATCATTTAAATGTGAATGCCACATTATAATGCAAATGCAATACACAAAGAATCTTATCCCCGGGAGATTTGGATTGGGTAGAACATTGAGTTAGCCGAATAGGTCTATGCCAAAAATAGCGTCGGTTAGATCTCTTTTGGGCGTCGCAGGAAAATCAAGCTGCACCCGAAAATGATTATGTACTTGTACAAAGTTGTATGTTTTTTTTCCTACAAGGAAACTTTCATTCCGTATTCGGAGATTTTTTATTTTACTGCCCTAAACAAGTTAGTTTATTTAATGGAATGACAGTATTGTAACAGAAAATATACTTTCCATGTCCGGTTGATAAAATGGTGAACACATCCTTTCGACTCAACGAAGCGAACAAAGCTTTCTTTTGTTGCTCAGTGAGATTCAGGAAAGCGCTCATTAAGTACCGAGGTCAAAATTTCTTCGAATATTCTTTCAGGAACAACATCCATGGCGTGCCTCTACGTGCCTTGGTCCAGTGCAAATGTTATTGCGAGTGCAGCATACAAACAATTTTCTTCCCTAGTAGAGAGAGGCAAAATGAGGTGTGAAAATCCTCAGCGTCCCCTCGGTAGTTACAATTAAACGAGCCAATCAAATTGGTTTGCGCGTTTGAAAAACTATCAACCAATCAACGCCCGAGGGTCAGATCCTGACCCTGTCGTCAGCATGGAAGTGAGATTCGAGGCCAAGGTAACCAGAGGTTTTTCTCTCTCTCCTCGTCGCTTTCGCGACTCGTTGTCGCCGCTTCGCGGTTTGCTCTTGATCTCTTTCGCGAAGAAAAATCAAGAAAAACCTCTGGGACCAGGGTAGTAATCGCGGTTCAGTTTGTTTATTCTATAAAAACGAGACGACGTTTTCATAATCATGCAAAACGGACGTATCGAGTTTTCGCAAGATTTACGTCATTACTGTTTGCCATGAGGGCATCTACGGTCGCTACTGCATCCAAAAAAGCAACAATGATCACTTTCACCCATATTTTGACGTTATCGTTTTTAAGATGAAAAGGTCTTCATTTCTTGTTGTCTATAATAAACAAACTCAACCGCGATTTCTTCCATTGGCAATTTTTTCACTTGTTGCCCCCTGAGAAACCACGTGACATTGCTTTTATCCCATCAGTCCTTGAGTGCGTGCAAAGATGGCGGGTATCGTTAATACGGTCTATCAACGCTAGAGTCCCAGGTTAGGGGTATTTAACAATTATACCTCGAGCTCGAATGGGCTCTGAGTCAATAGCCCATGAGAAGGCCTCATGAGCTATTGACTCAGAGGCCATGAGGGCGAGAGGAATAATTGTTTTAGTAAAATCCAACTAGTTGGTCAAAAATATCGAGAATAAAAAACTTTTAGCTAGTTAAAGCTAGACTTTAATCCTTTTTTGCCGCCAAAAAGCTCGCGTTTTTCGCTACTAGTGGGCTATAACATATAGCCTAGCAGTAGCGCAACGTATCAGAACGCAGCATTGATAATAGACCACCAGCTGGATTTTACTAAAAAAGAAAAGAAATCGCTTTGAGATTCAGGGATGAATAATTCATTTCTTATGTTTTATACCCCTAAGCATCGAAGCCGGCAGCATCAATTTTCTTGTTTACATTCTTGTGTTAGGAGTGAATAGAGAAAAGTGTGACCTCACGTTACCATGGTAACAAACTCTCTGGATCACAACAATAAGGGGCTCAAGAAACGACGACGGCGACGGCAACGAGAACGGCAAAAAAGCAAAAGGTTAAGATTAGCAAAACAATATTTTTTCACTTGCATTACGTTTTTTGTACATTTGCAACATGAAACTTCCTAATTTCTCACGCCTTCTTTATGGAGTAGGCGAACGCAACACACACACAAAAAAAGATTTGGTCCTTTCGTATTCAACCCCAGAAAATGTCGTCAATATTTGACAAATTAAATGGAATCGAATAAGATCGTCGCTGAAGTTTGAAACAGTGCAAAATCACTTTTTAAGTGACGCAGTCTGTTTGTTATCATCCATAGCAACGTGACATACGACTTCTCCTCTCTGTTGCACTCGTTTTTGTGCGTGGAGAAACTCCGAGACTAGCTAATTAAGGATCCCAGTCGGGGATCTTTAGATTCCAAGACAAGGACAAGGGTTTTCTCATTACTTAGTATTGAGCGCAGGCGAACCAGCGTTATTTTGGCGGGAAAACGCGATAGCCATTGTCATCCTACTAGTTACAGGCTTTGACGAGAGTGTCGTAGTGAAGGAAACAAGTTATAAAATGTTAAAAATTTGTGCAAAAGGGAAAATGTTTCTCTTTTACGAGAACTCGCAAGAAAAGAAGTCAAATCTCATCCTCGTCCTTGAATGTAAAGAGGTCTACTGTCTTTATCGCGGGGCACCATGAGTAAGAAAATTTGAAAACGTTACAGTCAAGAAGACTTTTGCAGGGACTGATCAAACAACGTGAAATAGAGTTAAGTTGAGATATTTCGACTGGCCAATACCAGTCTTTGTCAGGTGATGAAGACACCTGATGAAGACTGGTACTGGTATTGGCCAGTCGAAATATCTCAACTTAACTCTATTTCACGTTGTTTGATCAGTCCCTGCAAAAGTCCTCTTGACTGTAACGTTTTCAATTTTATCTATTTTGACTGGTCACGATCTTTTTGGATCCGACGTTGAGCAAGATTGTTCGCACACGGTTTTTGCAGAGGTTTTTTTTACCTAACTAAACAAGAAAATTTGGTTATCCATGCCTCCGCGAAATTTTGCTAGTGACTTGTAGTCACGTGACCGTCCGCCCGTCCGCCCGCACCAAAGGGTTACCAATCTAAAATACATGTTACCCAATCAACAAAGGAGACGAATTTCGTTGGAAGAACAATATGATATACCGGAGGAGGGGGCAGCGAAGAAAAAAGAAAAAAAAGCGAACAGCAATACAAGCAACAAATTTTTTTGTGACCACATACAACGTTTTCTCCATAAGACGTGGAACTCGGAAGTTTCACGTTACAACAACAACGGCAAAGAAATGTACAAAAAAGTGTGCTGCACGTGCAAAGAATGTTTTTTTTTTCGCCAATTACACCTACTGATTTTTTTTTTTGCCGTTCTCGTTGCCGTCGCCGTTTAGCATTGTACATATTTGTGTTAGGTTTGGGTAAATTATAAGTATATTAACGAGAGCTTCGCTTTTAACCCTGGCTAAATCTATATGTTACCCCAGGGTGCTGGAGCCACGGTCTCCGCTGTCGCAGACTGTCTTTCCTTGTTCACATTGTTTCGTTTCGTGGCTGGAGCTGGCACAGCTGGTTGCCTTCTCTCTCGGTTCGTCTACTGCATGGAGATTACACAGATCAACAATCGTACAGCAGCAGGAATGGTTAACAACATCTTTGTTAGTGTTGGCTTTGTAGTGCTGTCGCTTTTGGCTTATCTAATTCGAGACTGGAGGTATCTTATGCTCACTGTGTCTCTACCTGGGCTGCCACTGCTTCTCTGTTGGTGGTAAGGAAATTTTACTTTATGCCTTCTTTCTCTACTAACCTGAAAATTCAGCTGCCTCTCCTCGATACAGTTATTTCGAGAAAGGTTGTCGGAAAAAATGCGCAGGCGACAATCCCGAAAGGTAATATGGGGTATGATCAATACACTGTTCCTGAGATTGTAGCTGTCGAACCTGTTTTTGTTGCTTTCCTCTAGCACTCACAAACAAACGTCCATGGCCTCTCGTGCCAATCTTTCAAATTTTTTGAAGAACAGTGAACTCAAAACTACCCACAATACCTTTCGGGATTGTTTCGTGCACGTTTTTCTACAACCTTTCTCGAAATAGCTGTATATGCAAGGCTCTCTCGATTAGATTGATTGTATAGCCCCACTGGAAATCCGAGACATTCTTGGATACTGGATTCCAGTCTATGTCAGTGGAACTTGGATTCTGGATTCCAATCGTTAGTGGGATTCCGGAATCCTTGAGATGTATTCCGGATTCCAAAGCCCAGGATTCCACCTTCCACTAGCAAACTTCCGCATTACCTTACATGCGGCGAAATACTGCCGTCTCTTCTCGTTCCTTTGAGGAGAGACAGCTGCATTCGCAGGCTAATAGCCCCCGGGCCTCTGTTTCAAAATGAGGGTAGGTGCTCAGCCTTTAATATGGAGATCATTTTTCATTCTCATGCAAATAAAACTCATTTTCACAAGAAAGGTTGAGCACCTAGCCTCATTTTGAAAGCGAGGGCTTTTAGAACTCGGAAGTGGCCTATTGTTTTGTCGAGGCCCAGGAATAAAATCAACATAACAAAGGTAAATTAATAATGATAATAGAACTGAGTGGGTTCCAATTCAGCCTGTAATCATACGAGTGCGATTTGTTTAATCACGAGTACGATTACAAACCGAATTGGAAGACATTGTGTTACCGATTAATCATAACTATAACAAAATTTATTATATTTCAGGCTTTGTTCTAATCAAACACAAGAAATTGCGAGCGTTTTTTTGCTAGCAGTGAAGAAAAGCCATTTAAGCGCGCGCGTGCGATGGCGGGTACTGTCCGATTACAGGCATGACGCGTACTGTCCTATAACACTGTCCATTAGTGCTGAAATCAGGACAGTTGATAGCCAACCAGATTTGAGAATTTTGTTATAGTTATTGTTAAAGATAAAACAGTGTCGAAATAGTGTATAGCATAATGAATGTACCAAAAGATTAAACTTTGCTTTAAAGCTTAAAGAGGCTGTGTCACGACCAACTTAGCGTCCTAAGCGTCCTAAATTGCAAAGGAACTTAACGTTGCCGAAGAAATTACTTACAAAGGACAAATCACTGCTTCATGTTAAACAAATATATCTCCTAAGCATTGCACTGTTTGAATTTTGAAAAAATTTCACTTGTGATACAGCTCCTTTAAGGAGGCATCAAATAACGGGCTTAATGCTCTGTTAACTTATTTCCAAGGGTCATTCCAGAATCCCCTCGCTGGTTAATCGCCAAGAATCGTCTGGACGAAGCGCATGAGCTGCTAATGAAGTACGCAAGGAAAAATCGAGTGAACGTAGACTCCGAACATCTCCATCACGCCATACAAGAATTTAAGAAAGAAGAAGACAAGAATCGGAATCAGTTTAGAAAAACTTATGGCATTCTTGACATGTTCAGAACACCAAAGCTTAGAAAAAGAACCGTCATTTGTGGATTCAACTGGTAAGTCCCCCAGGTGGTACTCCTGGGAATTCTTGGTGGGAGTGTACAGTCGACTCTCTCTTAACGGACACCTCTATAAGACGGACACCTCTCTAAAACGGACACCTAGAGGTGGTCTCTGCCTTTCTTTGCTCCCTCTATTTGACTTTCTATAAGACGGACATCTCTCGAAGACGAAAAGCTAGTGCCGGTCCCAAAGGTGTCCGTCTTAGAGAGAGGTGACTGTACCGCAGGGTTCTTTCAAATTCTGACCCTATTTCAGACCAAAAAATGTCATTTTTCACACCCGTTTTCAGACCAGTGGGGCCCGTTTCTCGAACGTACCGATAACTTTTCGCGCCAGAAAATCCGTTTTATGTTTGCCGTGTTTGCATTCAAGATCAAAGTTTCATTAAATTTCATTAAATTAGCGAAGCAAAACTAACCGATTTGTAAGCTAGGAACTGTGCTACTATTTAACAGGTTTTGATTTCAAAATTTGCCTTTGGAGCCGAAAAGTTACCGGGCCTTTCGAGAAACAGGCCCTCGGCCTCTTAGAAATTACGTCATCATAACTTAGATTAAGACGCCAACATTTCGAATTCGCGTATTTCTTTCTTTCTTATTCATTTGGAATTGAAATGATAAATACGTTCGCAAAAAGAAAGCGGCGCAAAAAACCATACTCTTTTGGGCGGTCCGTACCTTTCTGGCTTATATTCAACAATTCCTCAAGCCCGAATGGGCTATTGGGATATTCACTCAGAGCCCATGAGGGCGAGAGGAATAATTATTTTAGTAAAATCCAAGTAGTTGTTCAAAAATATCGAGACAGAACAACGTTAGCTAGCAAAACACGATTCAGCCGCCATTGTTTTGGTTTTCAAAGCCGGCGCTTTTCGCTGCTAGTGGACTATAACATATGGCCTAGTCGTAGCTCAACCAATCAGAACGCAGCATTGATAATAGACCACTAGTTGGATTTTCCCAACAGGGAGTATCCCCCGGGGTGAGTCCGTAGAATTGAATCTCCAAGCATGTAGGCAATTAAGCGAACAAATCAAAAGGCCCAATCTTTTCATGTCAAACATTACGTAATTGTACCTGGCTACTGGTTAGCAATTGCGCATTGGATAGACAGTAAACCTGAAACCGCCCTCGTTTAATACTGCTTTTGCTGTTTTTAGGTTATTTGATTTTCACCCTCCCACCCACTCTTAAAGTCGAATACAGGTAGCGCATCGTAGAGCAGATCTGAAGAAATATCCACAACTAAACGCAATTGTTCATATTGCTTTCTTCTTGCAGGTTTGCGAATGGATTGGTGTACTTTGGAATAAGCTTAAACGTGGGAAACTTAGCAGGCGACATGTACCTCAATTTCTTTTTCTTGAGCATTGTGGAAATTCCTGGAGCATTGCTACTCTGGTTTTTACTAAAACGGTGGGGCTTATATGATATTCAAACTAACAATCAATAATTCTGGGGTGAATATACCGTAAATACTCGAATTTATGCCCGGGGTGTTTGTTATGAGTCGAGAAGGGGTGCTGCTCTAATAAGTGCGCTTGATTGAAGGGTAGCGGTTATGGTTGGTCTTTTTCAAATTTCTTAAAATGATATGGACTTGATTTCTAGTAGATACAAAGTGAAACAGTAAACTAGAAGTTATCTGTAAGGAAAAACACAAATATATGTGTTAATGTCCTTTCGAAAGTTCTTCTTCCTCCTACTAGTGCTCCAGTTTTTTACCATATATTTGGTGATTATATTTTCCAGGGGAGGGTTGGGGGACGCGCATTTAAGGGGTCACTAAATCATAATAGCATTTAAGATTAAAACCTCCATTACAATGATGATAGAAACTGTTCATATCGCCAGGGTTGTTAAAGGAACATACATCTTTTTTTACTGAGGGAACGTACTACAGCGAATGTGATCACTTTCAAAGTAATTTCAGGCTGTTAAGGTTTCCCAATGTTGTTCTTGTTTTCCTTAATAACTAACAACGTTTGCTTAATTGTTAATAAGAATTTATCAATGGCACTTAAAAATAACCTTTAGTAATTTACGTTTCACACGATAATATTATTTTCTGACCTGTAAGTCAACCTTCCTTGTAAGTTCCTGTCAGTGAAAAACATGCCGGGCTCACCTGAATTAGACTTAACCGATGGTACGCTTATTTTTATCACCCTTGGAACCAGCCTCATCCATTATCCGTTCTTCTCACATTTTTACTTCGCACATTTGTCATTACTTTGAGTGTTCATTAGTTGCAGTATTTGCCAGTATGTATTTACTCAGGGAACGGCGAGATGAATGCGAACAATAACTCAGTTTACTGTTTTTTTTTTTTCCAGATATGGTCGCCGTATACCATACGCTTCCTTCATGATCTTTGGAGGACTGGCAGGAACGCTAGTATCAGCCGTTCCATCGCATGAAGGTAAATAAAGGCCTGCGCACGCGCCGTCTCACTTCGATTCGGCGAAAACTAAATTCAGTCAGTTGACGCACGAAATATCGCCTATACCGCTAGCCTTTGCGTTTGCTCTTAGGGAGTAAAAGCCAACTTTGCCCGAATACGTCAAAAGTGAATAACCTTAGTTTGTTTTCCTCGTTAAATGTAGATCAAAACATAGAGTTGGCTTAGAGTTGTGCCCGGGGGGGTGGGGGGGAGGGGGGTGTACTCCCTTCTATTGCCTATACGGGGATTTTGTGCCGCTGGACAGGGTATGGTTTTCCTCCTCTCTGTCCTAAACAGGTGATCTAATTTCGTACGAGTCTTCAGTTCCTAAACAGGGTTTATAATTTGGCGCAAGTCTATGCTAAACAGTGTGCATGATTTGTGCGAGTCTGTTCTAGTATTAAAATTGAGGGAGTTGTCCTAAACAGGGTACAAAAATTGAGGATGTCTTCCTAAATTAAAACAGGGCCAGGGTTTGAAACCCTCAGCGGCTCACCCATACCCAAATATTGGTCGAGTACCCCCCCCCCCCCCCCCCGGGAGTTGTGCAAAGGTACTTAAAACGCGCGTCAAAGATATTATACCTTTGCCATGCTTTTCTCTCTTTTTCAGACCAAATTTGTGGGATAATATATTAAAAGTAATATAACCAAAGGCACCACTAAACCAATCCCCGATTTTGGTTCTCCTGCTTTTTTAAGCGAAGCCTCGTTGTTTAAGAAAGGAGGCAGTCGGCTGCGGGTGCACCTTGTTCCTTTTCCAGATAATTCATATCACTTCGTAGAAAGCGGCGTGCCGAAGGTCAGGTAATGTCATTAACGTGGAAGAGGTTAGTCTGATTGTTCGCGTGCCATCGTGGATTGCGCACCTCTTTACAGCTAAACCTTGTCTTCTCTCTCTGGACAGTCATTAAGTATGGTCCGATTGCATAAACTGGGAGTTTGTAAAGATTTCCACCGATAAAAAACATCGTAATTGACACAAGCTAACAATTACCTTATGTGTGAAGCCAACAGGGCTACATCGCCCAGAATGCAGCGACACATCGGGGAATTTTTCATGCGCGCGGGCGGTAAAATTAAAAAAATTTGTAAGAGAATTAATGGTGTGTGTGTGTTAACAAATTTTAAAAAATGGCCAGAAAGCGACCACCAGCGGGTACGTTTTCCTGTGTTACGCGCTTTTTAATTCCTCTGGCTAACTACCAGCATATGGGTTTTGTAGAGGAGGGATCAGTAGAATGATTTGAAACAGAAATCTCTTGGTTACGGTTTCTACAAGTATTATCGAATTTGCTTTGAAAGTTGGCTATTTGGAATATTTCGATGAATAAATCGGCTAACTTCACGGCTAGCATGTATCAGGATGGCTTCTAGAAATTTCCTCTTGTTTGTACAGACCCTCTTAGTTCCCCTCCCCTCTTCCTGTATATTAGTGAAGTGAGTCAGTGACTCAATGAATTAACATATTACGTTTTCTTGTGATTTCTAAGGATTACAGTTCATTGTTACGATTCTGGCTGTCATTGGCAAAGCTTGCATTTTCGCCACGTTCTTGGGGATTTATGTTTTCACTGCAGAATTATACCCAACAGTCATCAGGCAAGTAAACCATCCAACTTTGTGGCATTATGACAGGCTATTATCTGCACTTCATGAAATTAAAAATGTAGCTGTTATTTGACCGATAGCTACAACTGATAGCTCTTGCAATGACACAAAAACCTTACCTGGTTTGGTGTAGACATAACCTCAGATTTACAACAATCTTTTACGGGTAAAAGAAATTTCAATAAACTTTAAAAGTGATAGGAAAATCTTATGGCCTAGCTAGCTTCTTCACGTTTTTTCGTGACGTCATATCACGCCTATCAGCGTTTTTGCATGACGCCACGTCCGCCATATTGGTGTTCCAGAACAACAACAAACGGCGTCCATGTTGTTGTTCCAAGTAAATCCCGTGGGAGCAGAACATTATCCTTTCGTAGAAACGTTGTTTTGTTTACGTTCTTTTCCAACAAATTAAACGTTGTTTCTGGATAATAGCGCAACCAAATGCAAACAAAATATTTTCAAAAAAAAATAAAAAATAGCCATAAAATCTTTGTGCGAGAATTGCACACTGTTTCAATTTTATTTGTAACAAAACATAGCTTATGGAAAGTTTGTCAGTGAGGGTTGTTTAAAAGACAAAAAATGGTTTTGTTTTCTAAATTTTAAAACAGCAGTTGAGTCGTTGGGCAATCTCAATCCATATAGTTCTAAGTGTTATTGATAAGCGGGTTTTATCAATATAAATGGCACTTTTCCTTTATTGTAGGAATACTGGCATAGGTGTGGTTTCAATGATGGCTCGTGTTGGCAGCATGATAACGCCATTCATCGTTTTATTGGTTTGTATATTTAACAATTATTCCTCGAGCCCGAATGGGCTCTGAGTCAGTAGCCCATGGGGCCGAAGGCCGAATGGGCTATTGACTCAGAGGCCATGAGGGTGAGAGGGGGGCTCGTAGTAGGATGTTTTATTTTTTCAGATGGATGGGCCTATGACTGGGGGGGTATAGGTAGAGGGGGGACCTAAGCTACAGTTTAACGTATCCTGCATCGACAGGCAGTGTTTCTTTTTTCAAACAGGGAAGGCTTATTCATTTAGCGATAATTCGCAATTTTTTTTCGTTCAAGGCTGACCTTCCAAACCTGAGCAAAACTCTACCGCTGGTCATTTTTGGAATTTTTGGGATTCTTGCGGGTATTTTGGCGCTTTGGCTTCCGGAGACACTTCACAGTCCCCTGGCCCAGACAGTAGAACAGGCGGAAGCGTGGGATGAAGACTACAAGATATATTGTTGCAGACGCCACAGGTCCGCGAAGGAAGAAATAATCATGGAAATGTCGGATAAAGAAGAGGCCAACCAATCCTTAGTGTTAACTTAAAGATATTTTTCACCACTGGATGGATCCCACTTACCGTAATGCGGACTGAGTAGTCTCGAATTGAAAATAGTCTTAACTGATTCCTCGACACCTCTTCCGAAAAAGCCAGGGTGAACCTAACCGCTAATAAAAGCACTTAGCCTTTTAAATTTGTAATGGAGTAAAACGTACTCCTTGTTTCCCCATTTCTCCCCATTTTCTTTGTATTTTGGCTCCTTTGTCAGAAGGAAGCTTTTCAAATTTGGGGCTCTGGACCGTAAGAAGGTCCCGTATGTGGCACGGCATTTTGGGCGATGATCCACTGACTCAAAAGTGAACTAAAAATTAAATAAATAGTACCATGTGAAGTATTTCTGAAGTAGGGTTTTCTTAGAAGTCGTTTTTCAATTGCTTAAAAGTAAATTACATAAAGGTACCATAACTAACAATCTGGCTGTGTATCCTGAAATCTTCAAACTGTCAGACTGTAGGTTTTTGTCGAATGTACACTCGAATAATATACTTCGTTCAGCTGTCAGCGATGAAGATGGCCGCCTCTTTTGGGTTTTACCTGAACTTTTTCTTTGTTTCGCAACTTTTGTTTTTCTAGGTTCTGTTGTGTTGACTTCTTTGTTTTCTTTGTTTTACGTTACCCGTGAGTGTAACAGGTTCTTACACCGAGGATGAGAACTCTTTTGTACGTAGTTTTGTGTATGTTCTAATGAATAACAAAGCTATAATAGAATAGAAGTCAATCTTGTTAAAGGGCTATATTTAGCTTTACTATACTGTGCCCTTCTCCATACTTAATTTTCTTGCTAACTATATTAAGGAGAAAAAAAAGGTTGAGTTTGATCGTCCGGGTGAACGTAGTCCTGAATAGGACTGTTGTTGTTGACAGTGACTGACGTTTCGACAAGTCATCTTCAGAGTCAAAGTGATTTGCATCACGTCAGTTGATGGTATTATACTCTGGTTGTTGATCTATATTAAGGAGGTCGCGAAAACAGACCAATACTCCGCGCGTTTTTCGCAGAAGTTTCCGGACATCTCTTCACATTACTTTCTTGGAGCCTAGAACAGCTTGGGGTTCAGCAGCAACCGGTGTTTCCGGTTAATCTACGACACAAATCGTAACGTATTAATCAAAGGACCTTCGAACCTTCCTTAGACCAGCCTTTTAGGTTTATCATTGGACCTTGCAAGTCGGCCTCGAGATTTGAGTTATTAACTAAAGCGGTAAATTATGGTGAGCATATTCATAAAATTCTTTATGTCTCTTTACAGTGGAGGATCCAGGGGAGCGACCCGGGGGCGGCCCTCCCTTTTTTTTAGACCAAAATGAGGCCCGAAGGGCGGAAAAAGAATTTTTTTTGAGGCTGCCCCCCTTTATCTCAGGGTGTGGATGACCCCCCCCCCCTTACTTATCTGAAGGTCTGGATCCGCCACTGCTTTATTGCAAAAAGTTTCATTTTCAAGTATGGGGAATGGATTGATCGGTTCTTCATATCATTTCGTGTTTTGTAAACAGCCATGGATTGGAATGCTAACAATACTGAATCTGCAATGGAACTAAAATCCTTTCCCAAGGCAAAGAATGCAAAAAAGTTAGTTAAATACCCCCATAACCAAGATTTCTTATGGTCAATCTATAGAAAGTATTAAGAAGGAAGAGAAATCTCTTTATCATTTGTATCATCCAAAGTTTATAGTTCTTGCCTGATATTAAGCGAACAACCTTCGATTGCATTTATTTTGGAAAATACATATTGTTCGAAATGACGTATCACGAACAAAAAAATAATATATTAACCGTTTTGATAAAAGATATTGAAGCATATTAAATGTTTCTTCAAATGACAACTTTCCATTTCCATTGATAAGGCTATCCCTCATTGACTGACTGTGTACCCAACCTAGACTTTGGTGACCGGCTGCTACATTAAAGAGAATGTTGAAATAGCTGATACCTCAGCAACGTCAATCATGTAAGTAGCCACTTGATGTATGTACGAGCTCAACCTTCGTTGGATTGAATTTCTTGGTCCTTTAATAATTCAAGCATGTTTATGCCATGCAAGCCAGGTCTTCGGCTAGGTCTTATTTGTATAAGGCCCGTTAATCGACGTTAAGGGGAAACAACTACGCAACATGCAATTGTGTTTTCGGTACAACGAATATCGTAAGGTGTAGATCAACGAACCATCCACACATATAAAATGTGTTAAACCAATGGTTTGCACTAGATTCGCCACGAAAGTTTATTGACAACGTTATTTATTGCCTGAAAGTAATTGAAGCGTGTGAATCGGCTCTGAGATATGCACTGAATGTAGAACTCACGATAATATTTTATATCTCTCCATTTCAAACTTATGCTTTAATCTAGTGACAAAAATGATTCAAAAGTGAACCGAAACTTAAGCTGTATTATTATTATTTGGATTCACATCAAATTTGCAGCCGAAGGAACTGCAAATTTTCATGGGCTTATATACAGAGAATAATAATGAGAATAATAAAATAATATGAGAATAAACCATACATTTGTCTAGTTCTATTTTTTCGCTTGTTGTAGTCTTATATTACTGATTAGGCATTGTTTTTATGTGTATTTTGTATTGTTGTGAAGGCCGTAAGTTAGATAACTCATTGGGTTATTACGTCACCTTCGTTAAATAAAGAATATTGTATTGTATTGTATTGTAATAATATGAGAATAATAAAGTTTCTAGTTCTTGCCTGATATTAAGCGAACAACCTTCGATTGCATTTATTTTGGAAAATACATATTGTTCGAGATGACTTATCACGAACAAAAAAATAAAATATTCACAGTTTTGATAAAAGTTAAGAAACTTAAGCTGTATTATTATTATTTGGATTCACATCAAATTTGCAGCCGAAGGAACTGCAAATGTTCATGGGCTTATATACAGAGAATAATAATGAGAATAATAAAATAATATGAGAATAAACCATACATTTGTCTAGTTCTATTTTTTCGCTTGTTGTAGTCGTATATTACTGATTAGGCATTGTTTTTATATATATATGTGTATTTTGTATTGTTGTGAAGGCCGTAAGTTAGATAACTAATTGGGTTGTTACGTCACCTTCGTTAAATAAAGAGTATTGTATTGTATTGTATTGTATTGTAATAATATGAGAATAATAAAGTTTCTAGTTCTTGCCTGATATTAAGCAAACAACCTTCGATTGCATTTATTTTGGAAAATACATATTGTTCGAGATGACTTATCACGAACAAAAAAAATAAAATATTCACAGTTTTGATAAAAGCTATTGAAGCATATTAAATGTTTCTTCAAATGACATCTTTCCATTAATAAGGCTATCCCTCATTGACTGACTGTGTACTCAACCTAGACTTTGGTGACCGGCTGCTGCATTAAAGCGAATGTTGAAATAGCTGATACCTCAGCAACGTCATGTAAGTAGCCACTTGATGTATGTACGAGCTCAACCTTCTTTGGATTGAATTTCTTGGTCCTTTAATAATTCAAGCATGTTTATGCCATGCAAGCCAGGTCTTCGGCTAGGTCTTATTTGTATAAGGCCCGTTAATCGACATTAAGGGGAAACAACTACGCAACATGCAATAGACCATTTTACAGTTGTGGGCGTAGTATCCTAGCCTTTGAGTGAACGTGAGGCTGAGGTTGACCTTGTTTCGATACAAACCTCTTTTTTTTTTCTTATGGAAATTTTGCTGAAGAAATAATAGTTAGCATAACAACAACATGATTTACATAATAAAGCAGTAGGGGTTGTATTAAACCAAGGTCAACTCCAGCCTCGTTTGCACTTGTAACTGTAAAATGGGCTATTCTGTTTTCGGTACAACGAATATCGTAAGGTGTAGATCAACGAACCATCCACACATATAAAATGTGTTAAACCAATGGTTTGCACTAGATCCGCCACGAAAGTTCATTGACAACGGTATTTGTTGCCTGAAAGTAAATGAAGCGTGTGAATCGGCTCTGAGATATGCACTGAATGTAGAACTCACGATAATATTTTATATCTCTCCATTTCAAACTTATGCTTTAATCTAGTGACAAAAATGATTCAAAAGTGAACCGAAACTTAAGCTGTATTATTATTATTTGTATTCACATCAAATTTGTAGCCGAAGGAACTGCAAATTTTCATGGGCTTATATACAGTGAATAATGGGGTAATTATATGAGACCAGGACGAACTCAGACCGGTATGAGTTCGTATCGCTCTCCATACATTTCTTTTTATGCGTTTGGTCATTTACATGGGACCGCTGACCCGACACGAGTTATTTTCGTACCGGTCTGAGACTGTACCGTTCTCATGTAAAACGAAAACCAATCTCAGACCGGGTCCATAAATAGCATGTTTCTTCGAATGGCCCCATCATTTTTGCTTTTTCTTAGGGGGTAATTACATGAGACCGGGACGAACTCAGGCCGGTACGAATTTGTAATTTTTGCAGTCGTTTTACATGAGACCGGAACGAAACGCTTCGTTGATTACACGGGACCGGTACAAACTCAAAAGCAGGAGATTCTTGGAGCTGCATAACTTTCTTAAGTCGATTATTTAACATATTATCCACTAAAAGTCTGAGTTCGTCCCGGTCTCATGTAATTACCCCCGTAGCAAAATAAGAACACTGCACTGTCTTAATTGGCGTAAATTGTGTTACACCTCGTTAAAACGGACACACAAACGTGCTCGTTCCTGACTTTCTTTACTCTTTTTAGTCGACCATGTTTAAAGGCCGATTTAGACGGTGACGACTGTTGCGCGCGACTAGCATACGTCATCACTTTCGACCATCCACCCGCGCACAATTTTCACTTACGACATTCACATATGTGTCGTACGGATGTCGTGGGTCATGACGTACGCTAGTCGCGCACGATAGTCGTAAGCAAAAATCGTACCTTTTAAATCGGCCTTGAGGCGGACATTTCTCTAAGACAGACGCAAAAAGCCGGTCCTGGCCTTTCTTTACTTCTTTTTAAGAATCTAATCATTTTTTCCTATTTATCGAACATGTATATGTTTTTTTTTTTACTTACAAAGTCGTCCGAGAATGTCGTCAAGATGTTTTTAAACGCTTTTTTTGAAAAATAATTTCTTTGAGTGATTTTAAGTTACATTTTATCACAGTTTTTTATATTCAAATTTCATTTTAAAAAACACAGGATGGAAAACAAGGGCTACGAGTCGATAAAAACTGACGATAAAGACTTGGAAAACAATGGCCGGCATCCTGCTAATTCAGCAAATTTTGTTTCACTTTTGACCTGCTGGTGGATGAATGGCATATTCAGAACAGGAAACAAACGCCCATTAGAACAGTCTGATTTCCTGCCACTAAACGAAGAAGACAAAACAAAAGTTCAAACAGAAAAACTTCAAGAGCAATGGGATGAGCATGTACGCGAATGTAGTATCACCCCTGGCAAACAGCCAAAGCTTTGGAAATGTGTTCTAAGGATTTTATCCTTTAAAGAGGTTTTATTTTTGCTAAGTTTCTGGTTTATAGAGTCAGTCTTCCGTGTAACGCTTCCTCTGGCTCTTGGTCTCCTCCTTGCATTGTTGCAATCTACAGAAAGGAATCAGCCTCTGGTGGCTGGTTGCTGTTTATTTATTGGAATCGCTGGAGTATTATCCGCTACCACCCATTACTCTGGTTTTAGATGTGATCTTCTGGGCATGCGCTTGAGTACTGCTCTCAAAGGGATTGTCTATCGCAAGGTAAAGGACCTCTGATGGATTTTTTTGTTGTTGTATTGTTATTGTTGTTTACCTTTTTGCTGTTACAATCACCAGAATCTTAAGTTTGTTCGCGATAGAGCGGTTTTCGTTTGAGCCACTAAAACTGATTACGGGAGGAAAACTGAAACAGATAGCGAACGAGAATATAAGAACTTGATTAGTTGAGTGAACAGACGTAGGCTATGTTTACACTATATCGCACTGTGCCAACACGATTTCGGTTTTCAAAGACGTTCGCAAGCCTTTTGTGACGTTAAGTCGAACCGTGCCGAATGATGCTTAGTACACCAAAAAGGACTGAGGCAGAGAAACCTAAACATTCCTCAGTAAAGCCAACCGACGCAAAGGAGACAAAAAAACAAAGAAAGAACAAAAAAATAAACAAAAATTAGAAAAAATTAATTACAAATGATCTGTTTACCATGAAATTCCCCTTTCATTTGAGCGAGGTTATGTTAAAAACAATATCGGAAGAAAAACTATTACTTTGGTATGTGTGGCTGCTAGCCAGCCCAGGACCGCGCGGTAGTTTAATTTTCGTGCCCTTTTGGGGTCAGGTGACCAAGCCGTTATTTTTTAAGTTGCATGATCGTTAGCTCGGCGGTCAGAGATTACTTCGCTCGCTACTTTAGCGATGGATTTTGGTTTTTCTGGACACATTTATAATAGGCTCACAAGTTTTACGTCAACCTTATCTACTGGTCAGTAAAACAACAGTGTTAGAATTGACCGCGTTTGAGTTGTTGTCTCAATGTCGTCACAGTATGCTATTACACACTCATTACGTTTTAAGTTTCACTCAGTCTCACAGGCTGCATTTATTTTTAAAAGCTTAAATGTTTTGAACCGTTCTTATGGCAAAGAAAATGTGCTTGATATTAAGAACTGACAGCCGGGTTTGGCGACAAGATGACTTTTAATTTTTTTGCAGATTCATTTACTAACCCAGCAAAGCCTCCTGACAGCAACAACGGGCAACCTTATTGACCTCATATCAAACGACGTCCAAAGAATCGAGCTGACCAGCAGATGGATTTTTGCCTCTTTCTTCTTTGCTTTAGAATTTACAGTTGTCATTGTTTTGTTGCTGCACCTCATTGGCTGGCCAGCATTGATGGGAGTTCTGTTTCTAGTGGCGATGATTCTTTGTGTCTTGATAATCTCATATATATGTGCTGGACTGCGCGTGGAAACTGCGGAGGTATCGGACAGGCGCCTTTTGTTAATGAATGAGCTCGTGACTGGTATACGTGCTCTAAAAACGCATGCGTGGGAAGAATACTATCAAGAAAAAGTGAAGGCTACGAGAAGGTGAGAATTCTCTATTTTCCAATTGCCCATAATACACTCTGTTTACCCCCCAAATTCTGCATAAACCATTGTTTTTAAATGCTCCTGGGAGTATTGCATTTTCCCAGGAGCATTTTAAGACAATAAGTTATGCAAAATTTGGGGGGCAAACAGAGTGTATTATGGGCAATTGGAAAATAGTCAATAGTTACGCTATGTTAATTTACATTCAGTACCGGATACCGGATTGCTTTTCGTGCCGACACAAAAAGCAATCCAGTATATAGTATGAACAGCAACGGCATGGAACTGGAACAAGTCGTTCACACACGTTGAACATCGTGCCGGAGCGGTTTGCCAGGAGAGTTTGGTGGACTAAATCCCAGATTTAACTCCTGCAGAGCATTTATTTCTGTTTCAGTGGGTTCTACTCTTCTGTCCTACTTATTTACTACCGCGACGGTCCAAATATGTCAAATATTAGGTGGTCGTACTGCACCAAAGTATGGCACAAAACCTTTGCGTTATTATGTGACACGCCGTTTTAGAGATCGGCGCAGCGCAGCTTCTATCCGTCACAGAAATCGGGCCGAAATCATCACCGCTCTTGTGTGTGAACAGAAGCCCTATCCAGTGTGATTTTCCAGTATAGTATATCCAGTATAGTATGAACATAGTCTTAATCCAACCGTATAGTTCGTTTCAAGGGTCTTCTCTTACTCGCCATCCCTCTCTTGCTCCGGCGGACCAGTAGGAGGGGACGCTGGGAACGAGGTTAACCACACAGAATAGCAACAAGCAAACTTTTCAGATTGAATTATCTACATGGATGCTTTTTTATGTTAAATACAGTCAGAAAAGCCAATGACTATTCCAATGTACATATCTATTCAGACGTTGGATTCTGCGAATTATCACTGCTTAGCTTAACTCTTTTAATCGTTATTTGTCAACGTTAAAGCACCTCCCTTTACTTAGAAAATCACTTGGCGCCTTTTGAATCACGTTCTTGACATCTAGTTCAGCTACCTTGTCCTTTAAGCATTAGCAAAAACTCACAAGGGGTTGAAACGTCTAACCCGCGTTCACTAAATTGCTCGTGAATATTCACTTTTACCATATTTGGAAACCTTAGTGAGGGATATCCATTTTGAACAAAATGGCTGCCTCGCGATCACTATGCGGCTGTTTTAAGACCAGAGTTCTGCATTTCAAGATTAAAAATACACCGTTAAAAGACAAAAACTGGAAAGAGGAAGTTCAAAAGCCGTGAGAATGCTCAGTTTTTTTTTTGTGGAGGAGGGGAAGCTTTTCATCAAGAAATCGTCCTTCGAGGAATTCAACCTTGTTTTTTTCACGGCGGAGCGCATGGTCTGTTTTGAAATGCAACCATTTTGCTAAATTTTCAGGTACGTTTTGGACTCTATGGACAAGAAAATTACGTTTTTGGTGGGGATTTCAGTGTGAATTTTCAAATGTCTCACAGACGTTTTATAGATTTTTCTCGTCTGCACTAAAGAAAAATCCCAAAATGCGCCTCTATTTGAAATGGATTTTGTTTTGAATTTTGCCATGTGCTCAGCCGATTTTACTTACGTGAACGGATCCACGATCCGGATAGTGTTATGCGAATTGCTTTAAAGGATTTGAATAAAAATGTTCAAGAAACGGCTTCAATGTCTAAGATTTTGAGCTTTTTCATTCATAAAATTAGCTCAAACGCGATCGTTACACTACAGCATCCAAGCTGAATTCAAGCTTAATGCTTCTCACATGTCAGGTTCAGTTTTTGGACTCTTTTTGATACACAGCTAATGAATTTTATTCGAAAATATGTTTTAGTGTTTATTCTAGACTTTTAATATAAGAATTTTAAAAGCCTATTTGCAGTCAATAAGTTTACTGCGAAGAGGGTCACCGAGGTATCGTTTTTTGAAGTGACAACTTCAAGAAGTGGCGCGGTGGTCAGTGGATTTCATAATATTGCGTTTGGCCAGGGTGGTAAGCCAATTTCCTGTTCAGTATTTCGGTAAGATTCCTGGTTTCAACCTTTGAAAGCTTACTCGGGGTTCGGGAGTTTTTTTCCCCGGCCCTTTGGTCGGCCATTTTTTTTTAAGCGGGCGCGGGAACGTGAGGTAGAATTACGTCACGCCCATTCAACAAGTTTGATTGGTCAGTTCTATTTTCTTCTCGTTCCAAATATGGTACTTTCGTAAAGGAATAATCACTAGCATCGGACAAAGCAAACATATGAGAGTTACACGTTTCAACTCATTATGAGTTTCTGGCATTAGTCAATAGCAGCAGTGCCTGTTCTCCAGGCAATTAATTGTGAGGTATTTTAATCCACTGGTAGGGTATTTGAATCTAGACAAATTTTATCACTAGGTTGTGCTTGCTTAAGGTATGCTCTTCAAAAGCTAATATTGTGCTGTTCGTATAAAAAAAACTTTGCCCGCAGTAGCTTTATTCCAAAAGATAGCAAAGATTTTCTTAACATTCTTCCTGTCTTGAGTAGGCCTTTATACACTCAATAATTAATCCCAGTCAATAAAAAATTCATCTACAACTAGGAAACCAACTAAACTTTCTTTCTTTTACCTACTAGAGCTGAAATATGGATTATTATGAAAAAGAGCGCTCTGTTATGTATCATAGATGGTGTTTCGTTTACGGCGGGCAGTGCAGGAACGTTCCTTTCAGTTTTGGCCATCATTTTAACAGGCCACTTCATTTCGACGCCCACAGCTTTTATGCTGCTTTCCTTTATGTTTGCTCTAGAAAAGATGGCGTTAATTAGACTATCAACTTCTCTTCCTTTATTACTTGAGTTGCCTTCTGCCCTCCAGAGGATCGAGCACTTTCTTTTAATGAAAGAAATTCCCTTCAAACAACTCGAATACTGCCAGAGTTCGTTTAGGCGAGAGAGTCGTTTTGCATTGGCGTCGCCGATTGTGTCTTCCCTAGACGATCATCGGACTGTTAAAATTGTTAGCTCTGAAAACAAGGATGAGAAAATAGATTTCACTTTATCAGTTTCTGGTCTAACGTGCAAAGTGAATAGCCTTGGTGAAAAGTTTCTCCTTCAAGATGTAAGTTTTGCTGCGACCAAAAACAGCCTCACCGTGATCACTGGTCAAGTAGGCAGTGGAAAGTCAACTCTTTTGGCCACAATCGCGGGAGAGGTAATAATAACAAGTGGTAGCGTAGTCTGTCCCGGAACTTTAGCTTATGTGCCACAATCGGCGTGGGTTTTCTCTGGGACCGTCAGAGAAAACGTCCTATTTGGTGAGCCGTACAATGAAGAGTGGTATACTAAAGTTTTAGAGGCATGTGCGCTAATCGAAGACATCGACAGATTTCCTAGTTGTGACAGTACCTTTGTTGGAGAACATGGTATCGTGTTGAGTGGAGGCCAGCTTGCCCGTGTCAATCTTGCACGCGCCGTGTACGCAGATGCAGATGTTTATCTACTGGATGATCCTTTAAGCGCCGTGGATGTTAGAGTAGGTGAACACATATTTGAACAGTGTATCTGCAAGCTTCTACAAGACAAAATTAAAGTATTGGTGACACACGAACAGAAGTACATGGTGGCAGCTGATCACGTTTTGGTCCTTGACAACGGGTCAGTATTAAAGAATGGCAGTTTTAGTGAACTTTCAGATGCGGAGAAAATTTTATTTACTATCAAAGATGCATCAGTCGCCGCAAAAGAAGCAAGAGATGAAAGTGGCACGTCTCGAATGCGTTTCATAGGCGTCCGTGATGGATCAGACGAAACTTTGGAGATCTCAGAAGAAGAAAGAGCCACCGGAAGAGTCTCTCCTGCTTTGTACTGGAATTACATTCGAACTGGATTACCTTCATTGGGCGTAATTCTTGTGATTTTACTTTGTGTGGTGATCCAAGGTGAGTAAGCGTTTTTGTGGCGTGCGTGCATGTATGATTATTGCATAAATTATGAAATAATCACGCACACTTGCGACCATATAATAGTGGGGTGAGGCGTTATAAATACTTCATATAATATTAGTTATCACGTAATGGGTGTAATGCTCGCTTAAGTTTGGGTGTTGGGACACGTTCCATGAAGTGATTTTTTGGGTGTTAAGGTAGAATGTGTAATCAGTCAATTTTTGATCCTCTCTTTCTAAAGGAGCGAGAATTACCATATTTAATTCTTGTGCATGGGTGGGGTAAGTTTACGACCGAGTGTATTTGAGAACGAAATGGTGGCGAAAAATTCGTTGCAATAAAGTTTTCTAAAAACCCCAATGATGCAGGACTAAGAGCTGTTTCTTTTTACGGTGGGTCTATGATTCATAGTTTACTATGTTTTACGATTTTTTAAAGATGTGTACATACGATGAAATCGAAGAACGCTCTTAAAAGCTGTAACTCCCGCTTGCTTGGAGATTAGATAAGAAATGAGGAGGGGGTAGCCTGAATTTCATCCGATTACTTCGAGTCGTTATTATTTCCTCAGTAACGTCTGAATCGACCGGCCGTTAATGCCGTCCAGTGGCGTGACTACTCCTTTGCTTTAATTCAAGCAAAGAGTAAAACCCGATTTTCAAGTGGCAGACCGAGAAATATCGTTTGGAAATGTCTGCATGATGCAGAATTGCTTTACTTTTTTCGATCTTAATTCATATTTAACTGTCAAACTATCAACTGCATGCAGTACAGCTCTGAACCGGTTGTAATTCCATAATCAAAGTCGGCCCAATCGCGTAATGAAATAAATACACACACGGAGCACTTAATTAAAAAACACAACGGATTGCTTTAGTTGATAAGAAGCAGTCATATCTGGTCCTCAACGAAGAAACAAACAAGGAAACAAGAAAGAAAAGCAAAGAAAATCATTACGTATACACTTGACGGTGAAAATAGCAAGAAGGTCGAATTATAACATTGATCTCAGAAAACTTCGCATAAACAAAATCACTGCCGAAACCACTAAGCGGCTCTAAATGGAAAACCTATCGACTCTCTGCAGTGATTCTTCATTCAGTTCAATTTAGCATTTCGGTTTCGAAGACAAGGGCAATTTTACTGTTTACTATAAAGATTATCGAAATGTTTGAACTCCACGCAAGCATGCCAGTGATGCGATCCGCTGCATATCAAGTGACAATCCCTCTAAAATGTCTCATAATTATACATAATTATGTGAATGTGTAGACAATCAACCAATCAAAATCACTACACGGTTTTCGGGTAGTAGTGACGTCACTGGACGGCATTAACGGCCGGTCGATTCAGACGTTACTGAGGGGGTAAGAACGACTCGAAGTAATCGGATGAAATTCAGGCTAAGGAGGGAATTAATTCTACACAAAACAGGATTTCCTCGCTAAAAGGTTTTCATTTCCTACTCATATCGACGGTCGAGTATTCTTCAGGATATTTACTATTTACAGCGTATTTGACGATATGTTTCTGAATTGACTGAGTAGGTATGTATGAATACATGAAAATCGAGGGCCTCGATTCGAGAGAAATTACATCACTGCCAGACAGCAAAAACGTGATAAACATGACGTTTCTTTTCAGTCATCGCCAAGACTCATTTGCATGCAATGAAAGTTTGTACAACACGGTGCCCGACCTGTTAGCCTCACCATCGAAGTTTTGCTCGTTAAAGTATTCATTCACTTTTTCCAAAGTAATTAATGCTTTCAAGCGATAGAATTCGTGAACCGACCCGTTTCGGAAAGCTCTACATTTTTCGCATTAAGCTTTCCTAAGTTTTCTTCTCAAAACATCAGCATGGCGCTGGTCACGCCGCGATTCTTATCACCCGTTTCCACTGTCTCTGTTTGCAACGCCTATAACCATGACTGTCCTTTTGGCGTGCACGCAGGAAAAAAAAAGAGAAAAAAGAAAAGAAACGCCTGCAAATTTAGAGTCTCGCTGCTAAAGCAAGAAGTTAAGATTTTGGCTACAAGTGGTGCCACTTACTAGAAAGGCTCTTACCCTGTTTTCTCGGGGGAGCCCCACGCCTCTAATTCAAATTTCCGAATCATTATTAAACTTTCTATTTGAGAATGACAGCCTTGCAAAGTCGTTCTTTCCTTTCTTAGTTAATTTCTTTTTTTTATTGAGACCTTGAGAGTTGTTTGGGCGGGGGCAAAGGTAGACTGCTTTACTTTATCCCTCACTTTGTGTGGTCCTGAGGAAGGGGACGATAACTCGCTGTCTAGGGAAAAAGTAGAGTCATGGGTATGTTTGCCACTGCAAATTTAAAGTGAACTGGCCGCTGTTGAAGGTATCGATTTGAGCATTTAAGTCTGGGATAGGGTATGTAAAACAGTGAGTCACGTTTTTTTATTTCTTCTTAAGTTCTTTCGTTTCCATTGCAGGTGTTATGTTATTGCCAGAAATCTGGTTATATTTTTTGACGCGGATGTCCTGGAAAAATCAACAAGACAAAACAACACTACAGATTTACGCCGGTCTCGTGGCCGCTTCCTTCTTTTCTGGTATGATACGCGCTGCTCTTGTGTACAATACATTACTCAGGTCAGCCAGAAAACTGCACGATAAAATGGTCTCATGTCTCCTTCGGGCTCCAGTTCTATTTTTTGATACAAATCCTGCTGGACGCATACTCAATAGGTGCTCCAAAGACATCGGCTATATTGACGAACTTCTACCCAAAACGTTTTTACATGTCACCGGCATTTCGTTGGTCCTCCTTGCGGCAATATTGCTGCCTTCGTTCTTGAACTTCTGGCTCTGTCTGGTTACCATTCCATTTTTGGCCGCTTGCCTCTATCTCACACGGTATTACTTGAATACATCACGAGAGCTCAAGAGACTGGAGTCAATCTGCCGCAGTCCTGTTTTCTCGCACTTCTCGGAGACCGTGGCTGGTTTAAGCACGATTCGAACCCGAAAAAAGGAAAGAGATTTTATAGAGCAGTTTTACCGGTAAGTATTTTTCCGCTGCTCTTACATTTCTTGTAACTCGGACGCGTGACGTAACGACAGCGAGCAGGAGCCCATGCAGCGACCTTGTGGAAATGCAAAATTCGACAAAATTTACTGAAATATTTAACACTATTGAACACTATATCATAATTTTTGAGTAATCAGTTGTTTTTTTGTGCGGTTTAAAGCTGCTGTTCTCTGCTTACCGCTGTCACTGAAAATCATACACTAAAAGGAAAAACGACGGAGAGGAAAGAAGACGGCAAACCTTGTGTGGCAAGCGTGACAATATTTTTGTTCAAAAGAACTTCACCTTTCTTTTAACAGATCTTTTTGTAAAAGACCAGGAATCATCAATGTTCACGGAAGATCACGACAAAACACTCGAGCAATAGCCCTGTCACGTTTGTCACAAACAACCGCTTTGCCATCCTGTTGCGTAAACTCACTAAAGGTCTATTTACGGGAAGGCTCGGCCCGAAAGGGGCATCTTTTTTGATATAGGCTTCACGTATAGACAACAGTAGGGATTTCACTAGCTGAAGTATATGAAAGGTAGGAAAATCTAAGATTTCGGTCTGTAAATGGACCTAAAGAGCTAACAGATCTCTTTAGCAAATGCATCTTATGGAAACTAAAAAGACAAGTCTAGAAAATTTCATTCATATTAAGAAGACAGTACACTTAACAGAAGTTTTGAAAAGAGATAAAGTATTTTAAACTAGGTATGTGAAAAGCGTACAAAGTGGTAGAAGCTAAAGGGTATGGGATCGGACATTAGGGCGAATCCTTCCCGTACAAAACGTTGTTGAATAGTCCCCGAAACTCCGGGACTGAGGGCTTTTAATTACCAAAATTTTGCGAAATTCCTGTCACATTCACGCGTCCCTGACAGAAATTGGGCACAATTTAGTTGTCAATTTCGACGCCCGCCTAGCTGTGCTTGCCTCCAGCAAGGTGAGAGAGGCAAGCGAACAACATAGGGGTCAAACCCCATCCAAATCACAAGAGACTGGGAGGTGTACGGTGAATGAACATTATTTCTTTAATCAGTACAGTGCGTTTCGATTTTTGATTTTGCGAAATCACTAAAAATCAACTGCCAAACCATGAGAGATGATCTGTTGCGTTAATAGCGGGGCTCCCGCGCGCGCGAAGCGCGCGTGGGACAGAGCCCCATACTCATGGAATATGGTCAACCTCTTTTCGTTTGGTTGTCACGTGATTGACCGAGCGTACGTACGTACGTACGTACGTACGCGTCTACAGATTGTATGGGTGGGGTAGGGGAGACTATCAAAAGGAAGGGAGGGGTGTCTCAGGCGTGTCTTGGCAAGCCCACATCTTTAATATAGGAAATTAACAATATGGTCAATTGACAGCTGTCCAAACAGGATAGCCACTGACCAGTATCCCATGACCATATCGCGGGCTCATGTGTCAACTCATCGAGGTGACGTGATTTATTTGGAAGCTGTCCGCTGACCAGTTAACTGTTTTACTAGATCGCGAACAACGTTCAATCTCATACTTTTACTAGTTTGGGAGCACAGGAAAACTGATAATGCACACATATTGGACATCAATGTTTTGATCAATTGACAGCTGTCAAAACAGAGTACCCGCTGACCAGTATCACTTGACCGTATCGCGGGCTCGGGGTCGACCCGTCGAGGTCAAGTATTTTTGAAGTTATCCGCTGACAAGTAAACTAGTTTTCAAGTGATCGCAGGCTCAAGTTCAATTTTTTTTTCTTAATTCATATGAAATATGTTGTGTTTATGTGCTGCACAATTAAAATTTTGATTGCAAACTGACCTCGGACGTGAAAATTCAGCCAGCTGTTACAGGCAGGGAAGACAGTTGCTTTTGTTTTTTCTCACAATGGTCACGCGTTGGTCACGCTCTACGTCCAATTTTTATGCTCTGATTGGTCAAAATTTGACATGTGAGTTCATGCGCAAAATTTATGCAGCATCTTGAATCTTGTTTACTTTAACAGCTGAAGCTGACAGAGTTTTGTGTCAACTTGTGATGTTTTTAACTGTCTTTTTCCACTGGATGTACAAAATGAAATTCAGCTGCTATCAGGAGTCTTCTGTTACTCATGGCTAGTTTGTTTATTGGGTTTTGGTTGAGAAAACGTCGCTTGTCAAAGTCGGAAATCCGATTTCGGATGGCATCGTTTTCGTTTTCACCTTGCTTGATGCGTAAGAGGATTGCAAAGTCTGAAGCGATACTGGCTTTATCTGATAACTTTCAGGAGCTGCATCTCGAATGGTAAGCCAGAGAAATTATTGTATTTCATGTTTGTTTTTGTATCTAATTTAATGAAGTGGAGCGTAGTTTATGCGGGAATTTAGTTTATGCGCGTTTGTAAGTTTTGAGACAACGATCTCACCGAGTATCTGGTTTGATATAATCTTACAGAACTTTAAAAAGCCTTTAGACAGTTTCTCACCGCAAATAGAAAGAAAATGTTCCAAAGAATCTTTAGTTATAATTCTAGCCGGAAAAAAAGCTTTGAGCGATTTTCTTGCCTCGAGTTCGTCTTTGAAAAAACAAACACCGGGAAGCTGGCTTAAAACATAAACTTCAGCAAACTTAAGCTTGAAGCTTGAAGACTCAGGATATTTAGGGACACTTTAATACTTGTCTTCCTGAATGAAAATTGTTGTCTCTGTTTATGTTTCACCGAATTATATTTCTTTTATTGATTGTTGGTAGTCTCTCTTGCAATTTTAATCGCTATGCCGATTGTTTTCAGTCGTTCAGTGAACATCGCTTGCAGGAGTTCTCAAAATGCCGCGCGTTAAACCATCAAATAAAAAATAAACATGATAAATTCTTTATTATCTTGGAGCGTAACTCTGTTAATGTTCATTCAAACACTCGCTACAGCTCGCACTACAAAAGTGAGAACCGGATGGCCGTATAGGTGATTTTGGAAAATTTTTTTAACAGTTTATGAATATTGAATGAGAGCAATTTGTATTGTAAAATACTGCTTTCTGTCCATGGTATAAAAGGTTGGTTTACATGCACCCAGATTTGTTGGCAAGATTTTGCAACGTAAACTTGTCGAACGCCAAAACGTTGGCCTGATTTTTTTTCGAAGCCTAATTGATCTACGGTGATCAATAGCCATTACGGCTCTTAAATGTGATAAAAGATGATTACCAGTTTTTGAGTGTACGTATGAGGCTATCAACTCGATGTAAGATTTGGTTCACTCTTGGGCTGTTTGCAAATTATTTTTCTCTAAAATCAGGTAGCCTTTCCCTCAAAAGTCACATAAATGTGCTCTAAGTTAACTGAATTGTGGAATTCGAATACAAGTTTATTGTTTAATTTAAATTATAAATTTATTAATGGGAGCCTCGCTTTTAGCCCTGGCTAAATCTATATATTATACATATATCACTATAATTAATAAATTTTTGTATTTGCCGGCACTGAAAAAACTTTTTATCTCTAGACATCAAGACCTGCATAACCAATCGTTTTACATGGTATCAGCATGTTCTAACTGGATTGGAGTAAGAGCCGATTGCCTGTTTAGCGTATTAACAACTGCAGCAGCTTTTGGGTTCTCTTATCTCTTCCAGTTTCAAGGTAAGGGCTATATCGCGCAACTCAGGGAAGATAAATTGTTACTCCAGTTTTACGACAGACTCTCGGCGCTGAGACAAGTGCGATGATAAAGACCTTATCTGAATAGCAATGACGGAAAGCTACACTTTGATGCAGCTGCTTTCTCTCATACTGTTTTTATACTACTACATGAAAAATTTCTGCAATTTGATTGGCTCAGAGCAGTGGTATTTCAGCTTAATTTGAAATATCTTCATGTGAAAATTACAAACCTTTTACGGGTAGTAGTATAAACAAATAATAGGATGATTTGTACGTGATATTTGGCATAAATACCGCTCGTGATATTTCAAAATTGTCTCAAATCTCACTCGCCTAACGGCTCGTGAAATTACGTATAACAATTTCGAAATATCACTCGTAGTATTTATCGCAAATATCACTACAAATCATGCTATTACCAATACTAATTGCGACTTTAATTGCAACTCGCAGAAACTGTCAATCCTGCCTGATATATTAACTATCCTAAAAGAAAATGTATATATTACATTGTAAACTGATCATTAGCCGAGTTAGAAATTTAGTTAAAATCTTTTAAAGCGTTACATTCGTTAAGGTCAGAGACTGATCCGTCAGAATGTCCTAATGCGTTCTGGGGCGGCTACCTCATACGTATGCAATATAATTCGCCTTCAATGATGTTTTTTTTTTTCCCAATTCACTTGCAGCATTTACTGGTCTTGTCCTGGCGTACGCCATCAACACTGCAAAGGGGTGCCAATTTGCTGTGCGACAATTTGCAGACGTTGAGGACGCCATGACGTCTGTCGAGCGACTCATGGCTTACGCCAATCTCAAGCCCGAGCCAGGGTACAACATCAAAACACTTCCGCCCGTCAACTGGCCTAACGCTGGCAGCCTTAGTTTTAGAGATGTTTCTTTGAGGTATTACCCAGGTGGTCCACAAGTTTTGAAACATTTAACTTTTGACATTCGAGAGAAACTGAAGTTAGGAATTGTTGGTCGCACCGGAGATGGAAAATCGTCAATTGTGGCAGCTCTTTTACGCATGCCTGAGGCTGACGGAGAGATTTTAATCGAAGGCGTCTCTATAAAAAGCATACAACTGCAGGAGTCGCGAAAATGTGTTTCAGTGCTCAGCCAATCACCTGTTCTCTTAAGTGGAACGATAAGAAAAAATCTTGATCCTCTGGAGAAGCACAGAGATGACGAACTATGGAACGCCCTTGAAGTGGTAACAATAAAAAATTTGGTTAAAAACCTGGAAGGGCAACTTGACTACGAGCTTTTAGAGAGAGGCGAGAACTTTAGTGTAGGTGAACGACAGTTAATCTGCTTAGCTCGCACGCTACTGCAGCAGAGTAAAATCGTCATCTTAGATGAGCCAACAGCGTCCGTCGATCCTAAGACAGAGCAAATAATCTGGACCACCGTGCACGAGAAACTGAAGAATTCCACTGTGATCACTATAGCTCACCGACTGAACACTGTCCAAGATTGTGACATAATTCTAGTATTAAAAGAAGGCCAGGTCGCTGAGATGGACACCATTGATACCCTGCTTGGACAAGAAGATGGGATTTTTTACAGCATGGCCGCTTCCCAAAACTTATTTCATGAATAGCCCTTTTGATGAGTTTTTGTTCATTTATCGTTCCTCCAGAACTGCTTGGATTCAGCTCTTGGACATGCATTTTGAGAAGCGGTGAACGACACTAGCCTCTAGCTTCTAGCCACCTCATTCAATAGGATGTGTGGGAGACCTCTTCCGTTCATCTGAACGGTTCAGACTGTTTTTCACTATTACAGGATGCTACCCCGAGGGATGGGGGCTTCTCCGAGGACTGACTCCTGAGAAATTAGGGTGGGAGTGTGCGTCATGCTTTCTAAAGCCTTTACCCTATTTGTATAGGTTCTATTGTGTTGACTTCTTTGTTTTCTTTGTTTTACGTTACCCGTGAGTTTAACAGGTTCTTAAACCGAGGATGAGCCCTCTTTTGTACGTAGTTTTGTGTATGTTTTAATGAATAACAAAGCTATAATAGAATAAAAGTCAATCTTGTTAAAGGGCTATAATTAGCTTTACTATACTATGCCCTTCTCCATACTTAATTTTCTTGCTAACTTTTTTACTGCGCTTTTCACAAACATGCGAACTCTAAAGTTCAAAAGACTCCTTCACAATTGCATTTTTGGCTGCTGTCAATCATAATTACGATCACAAGCAACGAACCTTGAAATGCAGAAACACACAAAACGGATCGAAATCCACCAATCACAAATCACAAAACATGACCTTTTGAACCTGTTAAAGTAAAGTTTTGTTTCCTAAGAGGTCCGTTAAGATGATTGAAGGCAGCGAAAAACGTAATCGTCAGTTGGCTTTTGAACTTCAGAATTCGCATGTTTTTGAAAAGCGCAGTAAGGAGGTCGCGAAAACAGACCAATCCTCCGCGTGTTTTTCGCAGAAGTTTCGGGACATCTCTGCACATTACTTTCTTGGAGCCTAGAACAGCTTAGGGTTCAGCAGCAACCGGTGTTTCCGGTTAATCTACGACACAAATCGTAAGGTGTTGATCAAAGAACCTTCGAACCTTCCTTAGACCAGCCTTTTAGGTTTATCATTGGACCTTGCGAGTCGGCCTGGAGATTTGCGGTATTAAATAAAGCGGTAAATTGTGGTGAGCATATTCATAATATATAGATTTAGCCAGGGCTAAAAGCGAGGCTCCCATTAATAAATTTATAATTTAAATTAAACGATAAACTTGTATTCGAATTCCACAATTCTGTTAACTTTCTTAGAGCACATTTATGTGACTTTTGAGGGAAAGGCTACCTGATTTTAGAGAAAAATAATTTGCAAACAGCCCAAGAGTGAACCAAATCTTACATCGAGTTGATAGCCTCATATGTACACCCAAAAACTGGTAATCATCTTCGATCACATTTAAGAGCCATAATGGCTCTTGATCACCGTAGATTAATTAGTGGAAAAAAAAATAAGGCCAACTTTTTGCGTTCGACAAATTTACTTTGCAAAATCTTGTCAACAAATCTGGGTGTGTGTAAACCAACCTTTTATACCATTTATACATCACATCTGAGGTGAAACAGTAGTATGAGGCACTGTTTTTATCATACCGGCAGACCTCGGACAGAAAGCAGTATTTCACAATACAAATTGCACTCATTCAATATTCATAAACTGTTAAAAAAATTTCCAAAATCACCTATACGGCCATCCGGTTCTCACTTTTGTAGTGCGAGCTGTGGCGAGTGTTTGAATGAACAATAACAGAGTTACGCTCCAACATTATAAAGAATTTATTCTGTTTATTTTTTATTTAATGGTTTATTAACGCGCGGCATTTTGAGTACTCCTGCAAGCGATGTTCACTGAACGACTGAAAACAATCGGCACAGCGATTAAAATTACAAGAGAGACTACTAACAATCAATAAAAGAAATATAATTCGGTGAAACATATACAGAAACAACAATTTTCATTCAGGAAGACAAGTATTAAAGTATCCCTAAAAATCCTGAGTCTTCAAGCTTCAAGCTTAAGTTTATGTTTTAAGCCGGCTTCCCGGTGTTTGCTTTTTTCAAAGACGAACTCGAGGCAAGAAAATCGCTCAAAGCTTTCTTTTCCGGCCAGAATTATAACTAAATATTCTTTGGAACGTTTTCTATTGGCGGTGAGAAACTGTCTAAAGGCTTTTTAAAGTTCTGTGTTTATATCAAACCTGATACTCGGTCAGATCATTGTCTCAAATCTTACAAACGTGCATAAACTAAGTGACCGCATAAACTCCGCTCGACTTCATTAAATTAGATCCAAAAAAACAAACATCAAATACAATAATTTCTCTGGCTTACCATTCGAGATGCAGCTCCTGAAAGGTATCAAGAAAAGCCAGTATCGCTTCAGACTTTGCAATCCTCTTACGCATCAAGCAAGGTGAAAACGTAAACGATGCCATCCGAAATCGGACGTCCGACTTTGACAAGCGACGTATTCCTCAACCAAAAACCCAATAAACAAACTAGCTATGAATAACAGAGGACTCCTGATAGCAGCTGAATTTCATTTTGCACATCCAGTGAAAAAAGACAGTTAAAAAACATCACAAGTTGACACAAGACTCTGTCAGCTTCAGCTGTCAAAGTAAACAAGAGTCAAGATGCTGCATAAATTTTCCGCATGAACTCACCTGTCAAATTTTGACCAATCAGAGCATAAAAATTGGACGTAGAGCGTGACCAACGCGTGACCATGGTGAGAAAAGTCAAAAGCAACTGTCTTCCCTGCCTGTAACAGCTGGCTGAATTTTCGTGTCCGAGGTCAGTTTGCAATCAAAATTTTAATTGTGTAGCACATAAACACAACATATTTCATACAAATTTAGAAAAAACTTGAACTTGAGCCTGCGATCACTTGAAAACTAGTAACTTGTCAGCGCATAACTTCAAAAAATACTTGATCTCGATGGGTCGACACCTGAGCCCGCGATACGGTCAAGTGATACTGGTCAGCGGGTACTCTGTTTTGACAGCTGTCAATTGATCAAAACATTGATGTCCAATATGTGTGCATTATCAGTTTAACTAGTAAAAGTATGAGATTGAACATTGTTCGCGATCTAGTAAAACAATTAACTGGTCAGCAGACAGCTTCCAAATAAATCACGTCACCTCGATGAGTTGACACATGAGCCCGCGATATGGTCACGGGATACTGGTCAGTGGCTATCCTGTTTTGACAGCTGTCAATTGACCATATTGTGAATGTCCTAAAATCCTATATTAAAGATGTGGACTTGCCAAGACACGCCTGAGACACCCCTCCCTTCCTTTTGATAGTCTCCCCTACCCCATCCGTACAATCTGTAGACGCGTACGTACGTATGTACGTACGTACGCTCGGTCAATCACGTGACAACCAAACGAAAAGAGGTTGACCATATTCCATGAGTATGGGGCTCTGTCCCACGCGCGCTTCGCGCGCGCGGTAGCTCCGCTAAAAATCTTCATATCTCTTTACAGTGGCGGATCCAGGGGAGGGACCCGGGGGGCCCGGCCCTCCCTTATTTTTAGACCAAAATGAGGCCCGAAGGGCCGAAAAAAATTTTTTTGGAAGCTGCCCCTCTTTATCTCAGGGTCTGGATCCGCCACTGCTTTATTACAAAAAGTTTCATTTTTCAAGTATGGGGAATAGATTGATTGGTTCTTCACATTATTTCGTGTTTTGTAAACAGCCATGGATTGGAATGCTAACAATACTCAATCAATGGAAGTAAAATCCTTTCCCAAGGCAAAGAATGCAAAAAAGTTAGTTAAATACCCCCAAAACCAAGATTTCTTATGGTCACTCTACAGAACGTATTAAATAGAAAGGGAAATCTCTTTACACAGTCATTTGTATCATCCAAAGTTTCTAGTTCTTGCCTGATATTAAGCGAACAACGTTCGATTGCATTTATTTTGAAAATACATATTAGGGCCATTTATACGAGGAAAAATAAGACGTGTCTCACTGTACATAAGACGCGTCTTAAATAAGACGCGAACTGTACCATTTATACAAGCATGTCTTATCTAAGACGAAAACAGCTCGTATAAATGGTTCGCGTCTTACTTCTGTTATTGACTCGTTTTCATGTGAGTGTTGCTCGTAGCAACGGCAACCAACAGAGGCCGAAAATTTTCCCGCCTAAAATTAACGCATGCGTACTATGCGTTCACGTGTTATGTAAGACGCGAAGGTCATTTATACGAAGTTTTTCTCGTCTTAGCTAAGACGCGTCTTATCTAAGAACAGGTGTTAAGGGCTGTTCTAAAATAAGACGCTTCTTAGCTAAGTCGCGTCTTATTTCAGACGTAATGTGCCGTTTATACGGAAAGTTCGCGTCTTATTTAAGACGCGTATTATTTTTCCTCGTATAAATGGCCCCATTGTTCGAGATGACTTATCACGAACAAAAAAAATAAAATATTCACAGTTGTTATAAAAGTTATTGAAGCATATGAAATGATTCTTGGCTACTTTCATTTCCATAAATGAGGCTATCCATCATTGACTGACTGCGTACTCAACCTAGACTTTGGTGACCGGCTGCTGCATTAATGCCAATGTTGAAATTGCTGATACCTCTGCAACGTTATGTAAGTAGCCACTTGATGTATGTACGAGTTCAACCTTCGTTGGATTGAATTTCTTAGTCCTTTAATAATTAAAGCATGTTTATGCCATGCAAGCCAGGTCCTTGGCTACGTCTTATTTGCTTATTTGTATAAGGCCCGTTAATCGACATATATTAAGAGGAAACAAGTCGCTACTGAGAAAAAGAATCTCTACACCCATTAGAAGCCAAGAGAAGTGGCTCAGTGACCTTCAGGTCGAAAATGCAAGTGATATTGATTGGAAAGATGCATACACAATCGCTTTCCACTGTACCGCTTCTACAAAATTAAGAACTTTTCATTATACGTTTTTGCATCGGAGGATTGCTACCAATGATTTTTTAAAGAAGATTAATTTAAAGCAACCGGACAAATGCTCTTTTTGCCAAAGGGAAATAGAGTCTATATCTCATCCATTTCTGAGATGTTCGCCAACAATTGCTTTTTGGAACGATGTTAAACAATTTTTAATTCAAAAGGGCCTCAAGAGTACTGCACTAACCGATTTGCATCTGACGGGACTCTCTAAATTTGCACCCTCTACCGCCACTGATCTCGTTCTCCTTATTGGGAGATACCATATATACTCGAGCAAACTTGCAGGTACGTCTCCCTCCATGACTCTTTTTAAGGGCAAACTAAATTCCGTCATTGAGATGGAAAAACAAGAAGCACTCCGCTGTAATTCTTTCACCGTCTTTTCAAACAAATGGAAATTCTTTCTTACCTAAATTTGTTGCTTGCACTGGTTACCCTCTAGCTAATCGCTTTGATTTAGCCATGTGTCCTGCAAAGTTGAGCCATCCACCGTCCACCGTTCACCGTCCTTTCCTTTTATTGTAAGTAGCTAAGCAAATTCAAGCATAAATGTAACCTCAGCTATTTTTATGTTTGTTTCGTCAAGTTGTAATATGTATACGTTTTGTGTGATGTAAATTAAATATATATATATATATATATATATATAAAAAAAAGAAGAGGAAACAACTACGCAACATGCAATTGTGTTTTCGGTACAACGAATATCGTAAGGTGTAGATCAACGAACCAATGTGTTAAACCAATGGTTTGCGCTAGATTCGCCGCGAAAGCTGATTGACAACGGTATTTATTGCCTGAGAGTTATTGAACCGTGTGAATCGGTCCTGAGATATGCACTGAATGTAGAACTCACGATAATATTGTATATCTCTCCATTTTAAACTTATGCTTTAATCTAGTGACAAAAATCATTCAAAAGTGAACCGAAACTTAAGCTGTATTATTATTGATTCACATCAAATTTGCAGCCGGAGGAACTACAAATGTTCATGGGCTTATATAAAGAGAATAAGGGGGTAATTACATGAGACCGGGACGAACTGAGACCGGTATGAGTTCGTATCGCTCTCCATACATTTCTTTTTATGCGTTTACATGGGACCGACCTAAAAACGAACTCAGAGCGGTCTGACTTCGTGTCGGTCGCTGACCCGACACGAGTTATTTTCGTACCGGTCTGAGACTGTACCGTTCTCATGTAAAACGAAAACGAATCTCAGACCGGGTCCGTAAAAAGCATGTTTCTTCGAATTGCTCCATCATTTTTGCTTTTTCTTAAGGGATTAATTACATGAGACCGGGACGAACTCAGGCCGGTACGAATTTGTAATTTTTGCAGTCGTTTACATTAGACCGGAGCGAAACGCTTCGTTGATTACACGGGACCGGTACAAACTCAAAAACAGGAGATTCTTGGAGCTCTATAACTTTCTTAAGTGGATTATTTAACATATTATCCACTAAAAGTCTGAGTTCGTTCCGGTTTCATGTAATTACCACCTTAGCAAAATAAGAACACTGCACTTTCTTAATTGGCGTAAATTGTGTACCAGTTAGGACTTTTAGTGAATAATATGTTGAATAATCGACTTAAGAAAGTTATATAGCTCCAAGAATCTCCTGTTTTTGAGTTTGTACCGGTCCCGTGTAATCAACGAGGCGTTTCGTACCGGTCTCATGTAAACGAGTGCAAAAATTACAAACTCGTATCGGCCTGAGTTCGTCCCGGTCTCATGTAATTACCCCCTTATCAGTTAGTCGTGAAGAAGCGGGTAAATCTGCATATTTGCCGATGTGATTGCACTGGGGTGTAACTTTTGTTTCAAATCTGACTGCTATTCACATCTTCTATCTCCTGATTTTTTCCCTGTTAAAAGGTAACTGAGCTCAGTTTGCCCCGACTAAATTTCTGGTAAATCTATTTTTTATGTAAAAAAAACTTTCATTCGTTGTAGAGCTCGGGAACTAGTCTAAAAAAAAATAACTGCATAATTTATTGGCCAGCAGCAGACTAGTGAGGCGAAACCGCACGGAAAAATTAAGGGAATTTTTGTTCCTCAAAAAAAAAAATTCCAGGGTTCTTGCTCGTTTTACTATGGCTGTGGTCATACTACAGAGTTAAATCACGATTTAGCTATTAAATGTACAACCCAAAGATGTTCATTCCCAGATCTTGATGGATCGAGATCAACCTCTGAGACACGGCAGGGGCATTTAGCCGTGTCGGGAGAAACGGCACGACGAAAGTTTTCAAGGCTAATGATCCAAAAACCGGCGTACTTTCTCTCTCCTGCGCAGAGGCTTCCGCTAGGTATCCCAATAAAAATATCAATAATCCAAAAATAGATAGCGCGCGGGGGACGATGGAAAGAGGGGAAAAGTGGGCCTCGCTTCCTCTCTTTTCCCTTCCCATCATCCCCTGCGCGCTTTCTTTTTTCCCTCTCGCCAGCCTCCCTAAGACACAAAGAGGCCTGTGAGGCAGTTTCCCAGAAACGTAAAATGATCCGAGGAGAGATGAGTACATCAGTTATCTAAATATCCATCAAAATCCCTGAGTTACGATCAAGGGGAGGGGCCTGGACAAACGTCTATTTTCTTCCTTCCCCACCCCATTCCATTGTGCTAGCAGTCAATGAAGCACCCGCGGTTTAATTTATTCTTCCACACGCTCGACGGTCTTTTAAGAGATAGACTTCAGGTAAGGGAATCCGGGAAATGTTTTGTCTGCAAATTCAGGAATCCTGGTCTTTGGAACCCGAAATACATCTCAAGGAATCCGGATCCCACTAACGATTGGAATCCGGAATCAAAAGTTCCAGTGACGAAGAATCCGGAATCCATGGCGTGGAATCCAGAATCCAAGACTTTCTTGGATTCCCTTACATAGGGCGATACACTGTTTACAGTCCTCTTTTTTTTCTTAAGATCGTCGCGCGAGATCCAGCACTCACTGTCACTGGGAGCCATTTAGTAATTAGTTTCAAAATGTACCAAGGGGGCGGGCGTCGAGGTTTACAGTGGTAAAAACTGGATAGTCATCTTTAAGTTATTCTGCGCTCTTTTGATCATATTTGCATGGAAAAGGCGCTTTAAAATTTTTAATCATTATTATTTGTTACTCGGTCAAGATGGTCCCCCGGTAGCGCTCTTTCTCGACGATCTTACGGGAAAATAGGGAATTGTAACCAGTGTATTAAAGTTAAATGATAAGTCTTTAAACAGGCAGGGTTTACTTTAAAATCTTGTTTTCAGTTAAGAAGGTCTAGAGGAAAAGCTATTTCAACACGCTATAACCAGTTGCAAAATTCTTGAGACACTACATCTAATTAATATATAGATTTAGCCAGGGCTAAAAGCGAAGCTCTCGATAATATTTATAGTTTGTTCAAACAAAATATAAAATCGTGTAATGCGAAGCGGCGGAAAACGGTCAAAAACAACAATAGGTCTAATTAGCAAAAAAGCAACTTTGTACGTGCAGCACTCTTTTTTTGTACATTTCTTTGCCGTTGTTTTGTACGACTACAACGTGAAACTTCCAGAAACTTCTTAGTTACACGTTTTATGGGGGAAATGTTGTACGTGTTCTCGCTCACTTTTTTTCACTGCCGCTCATTTATACATTGCATTGGTGGCCGCTAGCATTTCTCATTTTGTCGCCGACGCTACACAATTTCCATGTTGTTCTTCCACCAAAAAAATGCCTCGGCCTTTGTTTTTTACCTCTCTGCTCTAAATCTCTGTCGCCCTTTCTCTCGTTGAGATTCACTGGCCTGCCGCTCACTTTCTGTTTTTCTGTCTTTCTCTTGCTCTATATTCCAAATTTGTTGACACGACAATTTATCTAAGCTTAATACTTTAGACAACACGGATACAGAAACAATTTCCGCTTTCCGATTTCGTCTTTATTGACTCTTTTGGTTTTCTCTGCTTTACAAGACGCTGGTGGCTATGCCAATTCCCGCCAAAATAACCTCGAGTTGCATTTGGGTTGCCATACCTGTTGATTGAGTTGTTTTACATTGGTATGACTGTTTGCGGACGGAAGGTCTCTAGGGCGGTCGGTCGGTGTACGGTCACGTGATTAACAAATTTTTTTGGATGGGTAGATTACTTCATTTTCTTACCCATGGTGCTCCGCTGGCGCGCTTCGCGCGCCAGAGCTCCGCTATTATCCCGCCTCCTTCCCTTGTCAAAGTTCAGTAGCAATTAAAAACCGTGATTACAACTTTTGAACAGAGGGAAGGGAGAAAGCGAGTGTGTATCTTACAGATGTGTGACCAGTAGCGATTTGAAGTAAAAAAGTCTGGTTTTTCGCCTGAGTGTCTTAACAGTTTTTGCAAGTGGTTGTAGCGTTTCATGATTCATAATTTATACAACTCTCTAAGTTCTTAAAACGGACCGACACCTCTACAAGATGTACACCTCGTTAAAACGGACACACAAACGTGCTTGTTCCTGACTTTCTTTACTCTTTTTAGTCGACTCCGTTTAAAGGCCGATTTAGACGGTGACGACTGTTGCTTACGACTGTCGTGTGCGACTAGCATACGTCATCACTTTCGACCATCCACCCGCGCACAATTTTCACTTACAACATCCACATATGTGTCGTACGGATGTCGTGGGTCATAACGAACGATAGTCGCGCACGATAGTCGTAAGCTAAAATCGTACCGGCTAAATCGGCCTTGAGGCGCACATCTCTCTAAGACAGACGCAAAAAGCCGGTCCCTACCTTTCTTTACTTCTTTTTAAGGATCTAATCATTTTTTCCTATTTATCGAACATGTATCGGTTATTTTTTTTACTTTACAAAGTCTTCCGAGAATGTCGTCATGATGTTTTTAAAAGCTTTTTTTGAAAAATAATTTCTTAAAGTGATTTTAAGTTACATTTTATTACAGTTTTTTATATTCATTTTTTTTTGCTGTTTTCATTTTAAAAAACACAGTATGGAAAACAAGGGCTACGAGTCGATAAAAACTGACGATAAAGACTTGGAAAACAATGGCCGGCATCCTGCTAATTCAGCAAATTTTGTTTCACTTTTGACCTGCTGGTGGATGAATGGCATATTCAGAACAGGAAACAAACGCCCATTAGAAAAGTCTGATTTCCTGCCACTTAACGAAGAAGACAAAACAAAAGTTCAAACAGAAAAACTTCAAGAGCAATGGGATAAGCATGTACGCGAATGTAGTATCACCCCTGGTAAAGAGCCAAAGCTTTGGAAATGCGTTCTAAAGATTTTATCCTTTAAAGAGGTTTCATTTCTGCTAAGTTTCTGGTTTATAGAGTCAGTCTTCCGTGTTACGCTTCCTCTGGCTCTTGGTCTTCTCCTTGCATTGTTGCAATCTACAGAAAGGAATCAGCCTCTTGTAGCTGGTTGCTGTTTCTTTATTGGAATGGCAGGAGTATTATCCGCTACCACCCATTACTCTGGTTTTAGATGTGATCTTCTGGGCATGCGCTTGAGTAATGCTCTCAAAGGGATTGTCTATCGCAAGGTAAAGGATCTCTGATGGATTTTGTTGCTGTTGTATTGTTACTGTTGTTCACCTTTTTGCTGTTACAATCACCAGGATCTTAAGTTTGTTCGCGATAGAGCGGTTTTCGTTTGAGCCACTAAAACTGATTACGGGAGGAAAACTGAAACAGATAGCGAACGAGAATATAAGAACTTGATTAGTTGAGTGAACAGACTCATGCTATGTTCAGACTATATCGCACTGCGCCGACACGATTTCAGTTTTCAAAGACGTTCGCAAGCCTTGATTGTGACGTTAAGTCGAACCGTGCCGAATGATGCTTAGTACACTAAAAAGGACTGAGGCAGAGAAACCTAAGCATTCCCCACTAAAGACAACCGACACAAACGAGACAAAAAACAAAGAAAGAACAAGAAAATAAACAAAAATTAGAAAAAATTAATTACAAATGATCTGTTTACCATGAAATTCTCCTGTCATTTGAGCGAGGTTATGTTAAAAACAATATTGGAAGAAAAACTATTCTTGGGTTGCACGTGACGTCACCAAAAATCAAACTAAGAAACTATCGATTCTTCTGAGTTTCTACTTTCACGAGGTACTACAGTACCTAAACATCTTTACATAAACAAATTTTTGGTTCGAAAGGGTTCTTCGTTTTGCGAGAGAGGACGCTTGAATTTCCAGGCTTTTGCGTGACGCGGCTTTTAGCTGGCAGCCGGGAAAGCTCTTGTGTGGGTTAAAAACATTACCGATTTTAGGAGATTTTGCAATCTAAACATTCCTTGTCTCAGAATAAATATTACTGTAATCTTTATGAGTTCCTCAAGCGAAGAATTCACGCATTAGTAGGAAAACTTGAAAACAGATGTTTCTGTTGGTATCCGGCGGCCATATTGGTGTTCCTGAAAGGGACACCAACATGGCGTTTCCATACAAAGCTTTATAAATTTAGGTAAACCGTTTTTCCCAATATCTCGCATTTGAAATATTTGACAGACCTGATTCTTGGCAAGGGTTTTTGTTTATTTATCTTGTTTCATTTCCTAGATTCTAGTCCTTCTGTGTTGACTGGTTTGCATTTTTATTTTTCATTGCGTGACAGTGCAAGCCGAGAATCACTTTGGTATGTATGGCTGCTAGCCAGCCCAGGACCGCGCGGTAGTGTAATTTTCGCGCCCTTTTGGGGTCAGGTGACCAAGCCGTTATTTTTTAAGTTGCATGATCGTTAGCTCGGCGGTCAGAGATTACTTCGCTCGCTAGTTCAGCGGATGGATTTTGGTTTTTCTGGACAAATTTATAATAGGCTCACAAGTTTTACGTCAACCTTATCTACTTGTCAGTAAAACAACAGCCGTTTTTCAGTGTTAGAATTCACCGCGTTTGAGTTGTTGTCTCAATGTGGTCACAGTATGCTATTACACACTCATTACGGTTTAAGTTTCACTCAGTCTCACAGGCTGAATTTATTTTTAAAAAGCTTAAATGTTTTGAACCGCTCTTATGGCAAAGAAAATGTGGTTAATATTAAGAACTGACAGCCAGGTCTGGTGACAAGATGACTTTTAATTTTTTTGCAGATTCATTTACTAACCCAGCAAAGCCTGCTGAAAGCAACAACCGGCAACCTTATTGACCTCATATCAAACGACGTCCAAAGAATCGAGCTGACCAGCAGATGGATTTTTGCCTCTTTCTTCTTTGCTTTAGAATTTACAGTTGTCATTGTTTTGTTGCTGCATCTCATTGGCTGGCCAGCATTGATGGGAGTTCTGTTTCTAGTGGCGATGATTCTTTGTGTCTTGATAATCTCATATATATGTGCTGGGCTGCGCGTGGAAACTGCGGAGGTATCGGACAGGCGCCTTTTGTTAATGAATGAGCTCGTGACTGGTATACGTGCTCTAAAAACGCATGCGTGGGAAGAATACTATCAAGAAAAAGTGAAGGCTACGAGAAGGTGAGAATAGTTACGCTATGTTAATTTACATTATACCGGATACCGGATACCGGATTGCTTTTCTTGCCGACAAAAAAGCAATCCAGTATATAGTATGAACAGCAACGGCATGGAACTGGAACAAGTCGTTCACACATGTTGAACATCGTGCCCGAGCGGTTTGCCAGGAGAGTTTGGTGGACTAAATCCCAGATCTAACTCCTTCAAAGCATTTATTTCTGTTTCAGTGGGTTCTACTCTTCTGTCCTACTTATTCACTACCGCGACGGTCCAAATATTAGGTGGTCGTACTGCACCAAAATATGCGTTATTATGTGACACGCCATTTTAGAGATCGGCGCGGTACAGCTTCAATCCGTCACAGAAATCGCGCAGAAATCATCACCGCTCTTGTGTGTGAACAGAAGCCCTATCCAGTGTTATTTTCGTTGGAAGTTATCCAGTATAGTATGAACATAGCCTTAATCCAACCGTATAGTTCGTTTCAAGGGTCTCCTCTTACTCGCCATCCCTCTCTTGCTCCGGCGGACGAGTAGGAGGGGACGCTGGGACCGAGGTTAACCACACAGAATAGCAACAAGCAAACTTTTCAGATTGAATTATCTACATGGATGCTTTTTTATGTTAAATACAGCCAGAAAAGCCAATGACTATTCCAATGTACATATCTATTCAGACGTTGGATTCTGCGAATTATCACTGCTTAGCTTAACTCTTTTAATCGTTATTTGTCAACGTTAAAGAACCTCCCTTTGCTTAGAAAATCACTTGGCGCCTTTTGAATCACGTTCTTGACATCTAGTTCAGCTACCTTGTCCTTTAAGCATTAGCAAAAACTCACAAGGGGTTGAAACGTGTAACCCGCGTTCACTAAATAGCTTGTGAATATTCACTTTACCATATTTGGAAACCTTAGCGAGGGATATCCATTTTCAACAAAATGGCTGCCTCGCGATCACTATGCGGCAGTTTTAAGACCAGAGTTCTGCATTTCAAGGTTAAAAATACACCGTTAAAAGACAAAAACTGGAAAGAGAAAGTTCAAAAGCCGTGAGAATGCTCAGTTTTTTTTTGTGGAGGAAGGGAAGCTTTTCATCAAGAAATCGTCCTTCGAGGAATTCAACCTTGTTTTTTTCACGGCGGAGCGCATGGTCTGTTTTGAAATGCAACGATTTTGCTAAATTTTCAGGTATATTTTGGACTCTATGGACAAGAAAATTACGTTTTTGGTGGGGATTTCAGTATGAATTTTTAAATGTCTCACAGACGTTTTATACATTTTTCTCGTCTGCGCTAAAGAAAAATCCCAAAATGCGCCTCTATTTGAAATGGATTTTGTGTTGAATTTTGCCATGTGCTCAGCCGATTTTACTTACGTGAACGGATCCACGATCCGGATAGTGTTATGCGAATTGCTTTAAAGGGTTTGAATAAAAATTTTCAAGAAACGGCTTCAATGTCTAAGATTTTGAACTTTTTCATTCATAAAATTAGCTAAAAACACGATCGTTACACTACAGCATCCAAGCTGAATTTAAGCTTAATGCTTCTCACATTCATTACACGCATCACCTTTGGGAAGATGTCAGGTTCAGTTTTTGGACTCTTTTTGATACGCAGCTAATGAATTTTATTCGAAAATATGTTTTAGTGTTTATTCTAGACTTTTGATACAAGAATTTTAAAAGCCTATTTGCAGTCAATAAGTTTACTGCGAAGAGGGTCACCGAGGTATCGTTTTTTGAAGTGACAACTTCAAGAAGTGGCGCGGTGGTCAGTGGATTTCATAATATTGCGTTTGGCCAGGGTGGTAAGCCAATTTCCTGCTCAGTATTTCGGTAAGATTCCTGGTTTCAACCTTTGAAAGCTTACTCGGGGTTCGGGAGTTTTTCCCCGGCCCGTTGGTCGGCCATTTTTTTAAGCGGGCGCGGGAACGTGAGGTAGAATTACGTCACGTCCATTCAAGAAGTTTGATTGGTCAGTTCTATTTTCTTCTCGTTCCAAATATGGTACTGTCGTAAAGGAATAATCACTAGCATCGGACAAAGCAAACATATGATAGTTACACGTTTCAACTCATTATGAGTTTCTGGCATTAGTCAATAGCAGCAGTGCCTGTTCTCCAGGCAATTAATTGTGAGGTATTTTAATCCACTGGTAGGGTATTTGAATCTAGACTAATTTTATCACTAGGTTGTGCTTGCTTAAGGTATGCTCTTTAAAAGCTAATATTGTGCTGTTCGTATAAAAAAAAACTTTGCCCGCAGTAGCTTTATTCCAAAAGATAACAAAGATTTTCTTAACATTCTTCCTGTCTTTAGTATAGGCCTTTATACACTCAATAATTAATCCCAGTCAATTAAAAAATTCATCTACAACTAGGAAACCAACCAAACTTTCTTTCTTTTACCTACTAGAGCTGAAATATGGATTATTATGAAAAAGAGCGCTCTGTTATCTATCATAGATGGTGTTTCGTTTACGGCGGGCAGTGCAGGAACGTTCCTTTCAGTTTTGGCCATCATTTTAACAGGCCACTTCATTTCGACGCCCACAGCTTTTATGCTGCTTTCCTTTATGTTTGCTCTAGAAAAGATGGCGTTAATTAGACTATCAACTTCTCTTCCTTTATTACTTGAGTTGCCTTCTGCCCTCCAGAGGATCGAGCGCTTTCTTTTAATGAAAGAAATTCCCTTCAGACAACTCGAATACTGTCAGAGTTCGTTTAGGCCGGAGAGTCGTTTTGCATTGGCGTCGCCGATTGTGTCTTCCCTAGACGATCATCGGACTGTTAAAATTGTTAGCTCTGAAAACAAGGATGAGAAAATAGATTTCACTTTATCAGTTTCTGGTCTAACGTGCAAAGTGAATAGCCTTGGTGAAAAGTTCCTTCTTCAAGATGTAAGTTTTGCTGCGACCAAAAACAGCCTCACCGTGATCACTGGTCAAGTAGGCAGTGGAAAGTCAACTCTTTTGGCCACAATCGCGGGAGAGGTAATAATAACAAGTGGTAGCGTAGTCTGTCCCGGAACTTTAGCTTATGTGCCCCAATCGGCGTGGGTTTTCTCTGGGACCGTCAGAGAAAACGTCCTATTTGGTGAGCCTTACAATGAAGAGTGGTATACCAAAGTTTTAGAGGCATGTGCGCTAATTGAAGACATCAACAGATTTCCCAGTTGTGACAGTACCTTTGTTGGAGAACATGGTATCGTGTTGAGTGGAGGTCAGCTTGCCCGTGTCAATCTTGCACGCGCAGTGTACGCAGATGCAGACGTTTATCTACTGGATGATCCTTTAAGCGCCGTGGATGTTAGAGTGGGTGAACACATATTTGAACAGTGTATCTGCAAGCTTCTACGAGACAAAATTAAAGTATTGGTGACACACGAACGGAAGTACATGGTGGTAGCTGATCAAGTTTTGGTCCTTGACAACGGGTCAGTATTAAAGAATGGCAGTTTTAGTGAACTTTCAGATGCGGAGAAAATTTTAGTTACTATCAAAGATGCATCAGTCGCTGCAAAAGAAACAAGAGATGAAAGTGGCACGTCTCGAATGCGTTTCATAGGCGTCCGTGATGGATCAGACGAAACTTTGGAGATCTCAGAAGAAGAAAGAGCCACCGGAAGAGTCTCTCCTGCTTTGTACTGGAATTACATTCGAACTGGATTACCTTCATTGGGCGTAATTCTTGTGATTTTACTTTGTGTGGTGATCCAAGGTGAGTAAGCGTTTTTGCGGCGTGCGTGCATGTATGATTATTGCATAAATTATGAAATAATCACGCACACTTGCGACCATATAATTACCCTGGTCCCAGAGGTTTTTCTTGATTTTTCTTTGCGAAAGAGATGAAAAGCAAGCTGCGAAGCGGCGACAACGAGTTGCGAAAGCGACGAGGAGAGAGAGAAAAACCTCTGGTTACCTTGGCCTCGAATCTCACTTTCATGCAGACGACAGCTGTCAAACGCGTCAAATTGCTAATAAAAAGGATGACCAATGGCCATTCAGCAAACACGTGCTTATCAGCTGCTATTTTTTTAAGCGGGGGTAAACCTGGGGGAAATTATGTTATGAACAAACCATCTCCACTTGGGTGGTAAAGAGTGATTCGTTAATCGGGGTAAAGCTAAAGCATGTGTCAACAATGGGCGACAAGAGTCCAGGAACAAGAACACTACTTAAAGAAACCAACACTGTTCCAAACGACTGCTACAGGATTTGCAGAATTTATGTAAAAATAAGTGGCCGAACTAAAATCAACGTTTTTGGGTATAATAACAAGGATTTTTCACAAACATTGTCATCTGTTTCGCAGTTCGCGAATATGCGAGTCCACAACAGACTTGAGAGGACAGACAAGCAAAATTATTGCATGGCGAGGGTATGAGTAGCCTCTTAAGGAAAGGTACTTGCAATATACTTTCCATGTCCGGTTGATTAAATGGTGAACACATCTTTTCGACTCAAGGCGGCGAACAACGCTTTCATTTGTTGCTCAGTGAGGCTCAGGAAAGCGCTCATCAAGTACCGAGGTCAAAAATTCTTCGAATATTCTTTCAGGAACAACATCCATGTCAAAATCTCGAAATATGGAGTGCCTTTACGTGCCTGGGTCCCGTGCAAATGTTATTGCGAGTGCAGTATACAAACAATTTTCTTCCCAGGTAGAGAGAGGCAAAATTTACCTTCAGAAATGAGGTGTAAAAATCTTCAGCGTCCCCTCGGTAGTTACAATTAAACGAGCCAATCAAATTGGTTTGCGTGTTTGAAAAAATATCAACCAATCAACGCCCGAGGGTCAGATCCTGACCCTGTCGTCTGCGTGGAAGTGAGATTCGAGGCCAAGGTAACCAGAGGTTTTTCTCTCTCTCCTCGTCGCTTTCGCAACTCCTTGTCGCCGCTTCGCGGCTTGCTCTTGATCTCTTTCGCAAAGAAAAATCAAGAAAAACCTCTGGGACCAGGGTACCATATAATAGGGGGGTTAGGCGTTATAAATACTTCATATAATATTAGTTATCACGTAATGGGTGTAATGCTCGCTTAAGTTTGGGTGTTGGGACACGTTCCATGAAGTGATTTTTTGGGTGTTAAGGTAGAATGTGTAATCAGTCAATTTTTGATCCCTCTCTTTCTAAAGGAGCGAAAATTACCATATTTAATTCTTGTGCATGGGTGTCGTAAGTTTACGACCGAGTGTATTTGAGAACGAAATGGTGGCGAAAAATTCGTTGCAATAAAGTTTTCTAAAAACCCCAATGATGCAGGACTAAGAGCTGTTTCTTTTCACGGTGGGTCGATGATTTATAGTTTACTATGTGTTACGATTTTTTAAAGATGTGTACATACGATGGAATCGAAGAACGCTCTTAAAAGCTGTAACTACCGCTTGCTTGGAGATTAGATAAGAAATGAGGAGGGGATAGCCTGAATTTCATCCGATTACTTCGAGTCGTTATTACTTCCTCAGTAACGTCTGAATCGACCGGCCGTTAATGCCGTCCAGTGGCGTGACTACTCCTTTGCTTTAATTCAGGCAAAGAGTAAAACCCGATTTTTCAAGTGGCAGACCGAGAAATATCGTTTGGAAATGTCTGCATGATGCAGAATTGCTTTACTTTTTTCGATCTTAATTCATATTTAACGGTCAAACTATCAACTGCATGAAGTACAGCTCTGAACCGGTTGTAATTCCATAATCAAAGTCGGTCGCAATCACGTAATAAAATAAATACACACACGGAACACTTAATTCAAAAACACAACGGATTGCTTTAGTTGATAAGAAGCTGTCATATCTGGTCCTCAACGAAGAAACAAACAAGGAAACAAGAAAGAAAAGCAAAGAGAATCATTACGTATACACTTGACGGTGAAAATAGCAAGAAGATCGAATTATAACATTGATCTCAGAAAACTTCGCATAAACAAAATCACTGCCGAAACCACTAAGCGGCTCTAAATGGAAAACCTACCGACTCTCTGCAGTGATTCTTCATTCAGTTCAATTTAGCATTACAGTTTCGAAGACAAGGGCAATTTTACTGTTTACTATAAAGATTATCGAAATGTTTGAACTCCACGCAAGCACGCCAGTGACGCGATCCGCTGCATATCAAGTGACAATCCCTCTAAAATGTGTCATAATTATACATAATTATGTGAATGTGTAGACAATCAACCAATTAAAATCACTACACGGTTTTCGGGTAGTAGTGACGTCACTGGACGGCATTAACGTCCGGTCGATTCAGACGTTACTGAGGGAGTAATAACGACTCGAAGTAATCGGTTGACATTCAGGCTAAGGAGGGGATTAATTCTACACAAAACAGGATTTCCTCGCTAAAAGGTTTTCATTTCCTACTCATATCGACGGTCGAGTATTCTTCAGGATATTTACTATTTACAGCGTATTTAACGATTTGTTTCTGAATTGACTGAGTAGGTATGTATGAATACATGAAAATCGAGGGCCTCGATTCGAGAGAAATTACATCACTGCCAGACAGCAAAAACGTGATAAACATGACGTTTCTTTTCAGTCATCGCCAAGACTCATTTGCATGCAATGAAAGTTTGTACAACACGGTGCCCGACCTGTTAGCCTCACCATCGAAGTTTTGCTCGTTAAAGTATTCATTCACTTTTTCCAAAGTAATTAATTATTTCAAGCGATAGAATTCGTGGACCGACCCGTTTCGGAAAGCTCTACATTTTTCGCATTAAGCTTTCCTAAGTTTTCTTCTCAAAACATCAGCATGGCGCTGGTCACGCCGCGATTCTTATCACCCGTTTCCACTGTCTCTGTTAGGAACGCCTAGAACCATGACTGTCCTTTTGGCGCGCACGCAGGAAAAAAAAAGAAGAAAAAAAAGAAAAGAAACGCCTGGAAATTTAGAGTCTCGCTGCTAAAGCAAGAAGTTAAGATTTTGGCTACAAGTGGTGCCACTTACTAGAAAGGCTCTTACCCTGTTTTCTCGGGGGAGCGCCACGCCTCTAATTCAATTTTCCGAATCATTATTAAACTTTCTATTTGAGAATGACAGCCTTGCAAAGTCGTTCTTTCCTTTCTTAGTTAATTTCTTTTTTTTTATTGAGACCTTGAAAGTTGTTTGGGCGGGGGCAAAGGTAGACTGCTTTACTTTATCCCTCACTTTGTGTGGTCCTGAGGAAGGGGACGCTAACTCGCTGTCTAGGGAAAAAGTAGAGTCATGGGTATGTTTGCCACTGCAAATTTAAAGTGAACTGGCCGCTGTTGAGGGTATCGATTTGAGCATTTAAGTCTGGGATAGGGTATGTAAAACAGTGAGTCACGGTTTTTTTATTTCTTCTTAAGTTCTTTCGTTTCCATTGCAGGTGTTATGTTATTGCCAGAAATCTGGTTATATTTTTTGACGCGGATGTCCTGGGAAAACCAACAAGACAAAACAACACTACAGATTTACGCCAGTCTGGTGGCCGCTTCCTTCTTTTCCGGTATGATACGCGCTGGTCTTGTGTACAATACATTACTCAGGTCAGCCAGAAAACTGCACGATAAAATGGTCTCATGTCTCCTTCGGGCTCCAGTTCTATTTTTTGATACAAATCCTGCTGGACGCATACTCAATAGGTGCTCCAAAGACATCGGCTATATTGACGAACTTCTACCCAAAACGTTTTTACATGTCACCGGAATTTCGTTGGTCCTCCTTGCGGCAATATTGCTGCCTTCGTTCTTGAACTTCTGGCTCTGTCTGGTTACCGTTCCATTTATGGCCGCTTGCCTCTACCTCACACGGTATTACTTGAATACATCACGAGAGCTCAAGAGACTGGAGTCAATCTGCCGCAGTCCTGTTTTCTCGCACTTCTCGGAGACCGTGGCTGGTTTAAGCACGATTCGAACCCGAGAAAAGGAAAGAGATTTTATAGAGCAGTTTTACCGGTAAGTATTTTTCAGCTGCTCTTATAATTACATTTCTTGTAATTCGGACGCCTGACGTAATGACATCTAGCAGGAGCCCATGCAGCGAGCTTGTGGAAATGCCAAATTCGACAAAATTTACTGAAATATTTAACACTATTGAACACTATATCATAATTTTTGAGTAATCAGTTGTTGTTTTGTGTGGTTTAAAGCTGCTGTTCTTTGCTTATCGCTGTCACGTACTGAAAATCATACACTAAAAGGAAAAACGACGGAGAGGAAAGAAGACGGCAAACCTTGTGTGGCAAGCGTGACAATAATTTTGTTTAAAAGAACTTCACCTTTCTTTTAACAGATCTTTTTGTAAAAGACCAGGAATAATCAATGTTCACGGAAGATCACGACAAAACACTCGAGCAATAGCCCTGTCACGTTTGTCACACACAAGCGCTTTGCCATCCTGTTGCGTAAACTCACTAAAGGTCTTTTTACGGGAAGGCTCGGCCCGAAAGGGGCATCTTTTTTGATATAGGCTTCAGGTATAGACAACAGTAGGGATTTCACTAGCTGAAGTATATGAAAGGTAGAAAAATCTAAGATTTCGGTCTGTAAATGGACCTAAAGAGCTAACAGATCTCTTCAGCAAATGCATCTTATGGAAACTAAAAAGACAAGTCTATTTGAAATTAGGTATGTGAAAAGCGTCCCATTTGGTAGAAACTAAAGGGTATCGGATCGGACATTAGGGCGAATCCTTCCCGTACAAAACGTTGTTGAATAGTCCCCGAAACTCCGGAACTGAGGGCTTTTAATTACCAAAATTTTGCGAAATTCCTGTCACATTCACGCGTCCTTGACAGAAATTGGGCACAATTTAGTTGTCAATTTCGACGCCCGCCTAGCTGTGCTTGCCTCCAGCAAGGTGAGAGAGGCAAGCGAACAACATAGGGGTCAAACCCCATCCAAATCACAAGAGACTGGGAGGTGTACGGTGAATGAACATTATTTCTTTAATCAGTACAGTGCGTTTCGATTTTTGATTTTGCGAAATCACTAAAAATCAACTGCCAAACCATGAGCGATGATCTGTTGCGCTAATATACATATATTACTATAATTAATAAATTTTTGTATTTGCCGGCACTGAGAAAACATTTTATCTCTAGACATCAAGACCTGCATAACCAATCGTTTTACATGGTATCAGCATGTTCTAACTGGATTGGAGTAAGAGCCGATTGCCTGTTTAGCGTATTAACAACTGCAGCAGCTTTTGGGTTTTCTTTTCTCTTCCAGTTTCAAGGCAAGGGCTATATCGCGCAACTCAGGGAAGATAAATTGTTACTCCAGTTTTACGACAGACTCTCGGCGCTGAGACAAGTGCGATGATAAAGACTTTATCTGAATAGCAATGACGGAAAGCTACACTTTCATGCAGCCGCTTTCTCTCATACTGTATTTATACTGCTACATGAGAAATTTCTGCAACTTGATTGACTCAGAGCGGTAGTATTTCAGCTTAATTTGAAGTATCTTCATGTGAAAATTACAAACCTTTTGCGGGTAGTAGTATGATTTGTACGTGATATTTGGCATAAATACCGCTCGTGATATTTCAAAATTTTCTCAAATTTCACTCGCCTAACGGCTCGTGAAATTACGTATAACAATTTCGAAATATCACTCGTAGTATTTATGGCAAATATCACTACAAATCATGCTATTACCTATACTAATTGCGACTTTAATTGCAACTCGCAGAAACTGTCAATCCTGCCTGATATATTAACTATACTAAAAGAAAATGCATATATTGCATTGTAAACTGATCGTTAGCCGAGTTAGAAATTTAGTTAAAATCTTTTAAAGCGTTACATTCGTTAAGGTCAGATACTGATTCGGTCAGAATGTCCTAATGCGTTCTAGGGCGGCTAACTCATACGTATGCAATATAATTTGGCCTTTAATGATGTTTTTTTTTCTCAATTCACTTGCAGCATTTACTGGTCTTGTCCTGGCGTACGCCATCAACACTGCAAAGGGGTGCCAATTTGCTGTGCGACAATTTGCAGACGTTGAGGACGCCATGACGTCTGTCGAGCGACTCATGGCTTACGCCAATCTCAAGCCCGAGCCAGGGTACAACATCAAAACACTTCCGCCCGTCAACTGGCCAAACGCTAGCAGCCTGAGTTTTAGAGATGTTTCTTTGAGGTATTACCCAGGTGGTCCACAAGTTTTGAAACATTTAACTTTTGACATTCGAGAGAAACTGAAGTTAGGAATTGTTGGTCGCACCGGAGATGGAAAATCGTCAATTGTGGCAGCTCTTTTACGCATGCCTGAGGCTGACGGAGAGATATTCATCGATGGCGTCTCCATTAAAGGCATTCAACTGCAGGAGTCGCGAAAATGTGTTTCAGTGCTCAGCCAATCACCTGTCCTCTTAAGTGGAACAATAAGAAAAAATCTTGATCCTCTGGAGAAGCACGGAGATGACGAACTATGGAACGCCCTTGAAGTAGTAACAATAAAAAATTTGGTTAAAAACCTGGAAGGGGAACTTGACTACGAGCTTTTAGAGAGAGGCGAGAACCTTAGTGTAGGTGAACGCCAGTTAATCTGCTTAGCTCGCGCGCTACTGCAGCAGAGTAAAATCGTCATCTTAGATGAGCCAACGGCGTCTGTCGATCCTAAGACAGAGCAAACAATCTGGACCACCGTGCACGAGAAACTGAAGAATTCCACTGTGATCACTATAGCTCACCGACTGAACACTGTCCAAGATTGTGACATAATTCTAGTATTAAAAGAAGGCGAGATCGCTGAGATGGACACAAGTGATACCCTGCTTGGACAAGAAGATGGGATTTTTTACAGAATGGCCGCTTCCCAAAACTTATTACATGAATAGCCCTTTAATGTGTTTTTGTTCATTTATCGTTCTTCAGCACTGCTTGGATTCACTCTTGGACACGCATTTTGAGAAGCGATGAATGACACTAGCTTCAATTGACCACCTCATTCAATAGGATGTGTGGGAGATCTCTTCAGTTTATCTGATGACTGGAAACAAGTGGAACGGTTCAGACTGTTTTTCACTATTAAAGGATGATACCCCGACGGATGGGGGTTTCCCCGAGGACTGACTCCTGAAATATTAGGGTGGGAGTGTTCGTCATGCTTTCTAAAGCCTTTACCCCATTTGTATAGATAATAGCAGGATTTAAAGTGATATTTGGCATTTAATAGTAGAATCCAACTAGTGGTCTATTATCAATGCTGCGTTCTGATTGGCTGAGCTGACTCAGAGCCCATTCGGGCTCGGGGCTCGAGGAATAATTGTTAAAAATACCACGAGTGATATTTCGCAATTATTATACGTAATTTCACAAACCAGTATGCGAGTGAAATTTGAGACAATTTTGAAATATCACAAGTGGTATTTATGCCAAATATCACGTACAAATCATGCTATTATTTGTTTGTACTACTACCCACAAAAGGTTTGTAATTTTCACATGTAGGTATTTCAAATTTAGCTGAAATACAACACTTCTCTGAGCCAATCAAATTGCAGAAATTTCTCATGTAGTAATATAATAGATCCAAATATTAAGTGATTTTGCCTACCATAATCCACTCCCGAGTTTAAAGGGATGTATGAACCGAAAGGTCTTCAAAGGTTACTTTCTTAAAAACTTTACAGTCTTACTCATTGAAGAAGTCTTTCATGGAAATAGAATAAGAGATAAAACGACACATAGGACCAGTATCCAATACCTTTTGGTCAGATAATATTAAGATAAGGTTCAGACGCCCCATAGACGGAGTAGCTTTGCGCTTATGATTTAGTGAAAACAGCGTTCCGATTCCGCTTACGACTCCGTCGCTTACGTTCCGCTTATGATCCATAGTGAAAACCAGATTGTCGGAGTCGGAAGCAGAAGCAGAAGAGCCAAATCAATCACAAAGCGTGGGAACGTGGATTGTGATTGCTTTATCCTTCCGGTACTGCTTCCGACTCCGACAATTTGGTTTTCACTAGATCCTAAGCGGAACGTAAGCGACGGATTAGGAAGAAATGGAAACGTTCTGATTCTTCTGACTCCGATTCCGTCGCTCATATGACTCCGCTTACGACTCCAATTTTTGATTTTCACTAGGTCACTTTGCAACTTTCCAAAGTAAATATTGATAGCCTTACCGTAGGAAGCATTGACGTTGCTTCTGTCACTGTGGCAAGAAATTTAGGGACATGGTTCGATTCTAACTTGAATCTCCAGGAACAGATCCACAAAACTTTCAAATGTGGGTTTTTCCATTTATACAATATTCCGCGTATCCGAAAGTATCTGTCCCAGGAATCTGCACGAACTTTGGTCCATGCTTTTATCATTGGTCGTATAGGTTACTGCAACAGCATTCTATTGGTTTACCCACTGTTCACCTACTTAAACTGCAAAGTTTGCAGAATGCAGCTGCTCGACTATATCTAACGTTTCTCGCTACAGTCACATAACACCAGTACTATGTTCGTTACATTGGCTTCCTGTCAAATTTCGTATTGATTTTAAAATACTTGTCATGCGCCTGGTTACTTGATTGATTTGATTTCTATTAAAGAACAGCCGCGCTATAATCTCCGCTCAGCTGGCGGTCTTATCCTGAAGAATCCTAGTTTAAAACTGAAAAAGACTTTCGGTGATAGTGCTTTTTCATCTGCTGCCTGTTATATAGTAATTTATGGAACAATCTGCCCCTTCACAGCCGTCTTGAGGACAGTTTTGAACGTTTTAAATCTTAACTTAAAACGTATCTTTTTAGACTAGCTTTTGATAAGTAATGTTTTTAACCTACTATGTAATATACCGGTATTTAGTGTTTTTATCTTTCCTTAATTTTTAGCTTTGTTAAGTTTTAGCCTCAATTATTATGCTCATTTTAGCTTATATTTTCTTTTGACAGTTACGTCTTGTCACGCTCTTTTGATCATATTTGCATGGAGAAGGCGCGTTACAAATTTTTAATTATTATTTTTATACTATTATTATTAATATTATTAGATAAAAAATAGGAAATGTGACAATCTGATTCATTTATGGCACAAAATATTGTTCTTTTTTAAGGGTCCTTAAAACATGTGAACATGTCAAAATTTGAAGTGAAATTGATATCTCTGCAAAATAAGAAGTACAGAATCAAAGCTGGAAAGCTGAAAGCTGTCGTTCTCATTAAATAAATTGTAAAACGAACATCCAGTTCTAAACCCTTAGAATACAGAAATATTTCACAACCAAACATAATTCGTCTTTAAATCTCAATAAACAGCATTTCGCGAAAAACACAGTTGAATTTTCCCCAGAACGTCTTCAAGAAATAGAAATCTCCCGGATTTTTATGTCTGTAGGGACGAAATCGCGTGAGCAACTCGTAGATTCTGGCCAATTGTAGATTATGTTTGTGTTTATCAATGTTAATTTGTAAAGGTCTGCAAGGGTAACTGACATAGTCTGAATCACACAAGTTATACGTTGAGGGTTTTGCTTTCTAGTGCTAGCTTATTAGATGGGCTAATCCTTCTTGTGAAGATGCCGAATATATAGAGAAGTACATGTAGATCACATTTGACTATAAATAATAAAATGTCTCAAATGGATCGCAGTGAGAGAAATTCAAGTCGTTATTTATTGGAACAAAATGTTGCTTTGATTGGTATTTGTTTTATTTTTCAATGCTTCATCTTTATCCAAGATCGACAGGCAGTTGCTGTTACTGATCTCAAATTTAGCGGTCAAAATGCCTCAACCGGTCTTTCAAACATTTTCAGAATTACTAAAATAAAACGCAATCTTGGACAACAAACAGAGAGAATAGGCCAATGCAATGCTATAGTCATTTTATTTCACTCTTACACCAAGTCTACATTGTTTTAACTACTCCAGGAAACAGGTGTGAACATTAGGCCAACTTGCGACGAAACAAATTATTCTTCCGTCTTACTCATGATTCTAGTTGTACCATTTATCAGCGTCTTAAAAGCTCTTGTATGAACTTATCCGTCCATATTGCCAGCATCGCTTTAAAATCTGAAACAAATTATTTATTTAGTTAATTTTTTTGAGCATAAGTTTATGCAATAGGAAATGAAGGTCAGCGTGGCCGAGTGGTATGCGTGTCAGACTCGCAATCAGGAGAGCTCTCATTCGATACCCGCTCTGGCCATTTGCTAGATTTGTTCTCTTTCGCACCAAGTTCAAATCCTCGGCCAACTGGTTGGTTAATCTATCCAGTGGAGTTTCTGAGAACTAGTTGGGTAAGTTAGTGCACCTTCCACTGAGATCTCCATAATTCTTTAATAATTCAATATTTGTTTTATTGAAACAATTCAAATGTTCCGCAATTTTGTATCACTACCGAAATGTAACTCAACCTCATCCCCAGGTTTTTTCGGTTAACGGTTCAATAATCTGGCAATTTGCTGCACGATTGACGTCATCAGCTCACACAAGCTGGTTATGAAGGATTATGTGTGGGATTTTAGCCAATCAGAAATGGCGAAATATTTTGAATGAATAATAATAAAGGATCTCAATGGGTGGTAACTTTGAAGGTTTTAGGCCGGTTCAGACGCCGATCTTTTCATGAGCCGAACCTAATACATTGAATTAAGTACATGAAAAGTTCGGCGTCTGAATCAATTAGGAACGCCTATTTCAATTGCCGTTCTAGCCCGCCTGGGAATTTCGACTTTGGAACGACTTTGGAACGGTTTTGATTCAGACCCCGAACTTTTTATGTACTGAACCTAATGCATAAATTATTATAACAAATTTTGTAAGCAGTTTCACCAAAATTAGCATTTTCCTCCTTTTGAATTTAGTTCGGCTGGAATTAAGATCGGCGTCTGAATCAATTCAGGCGGTCTAAATAGTTGGGTCAGCCTTAATTCGAATTAGGTTCGGCTCATGAAAAGTTCGGCGTCTGAACCGGGCCTTAGTGACGATTGCGTTTTTCCAATTTTGACTGTTGACGGTCAAATTTTAGAGCTTTTGACAGTTAATGGTTATTAAGTGGAAATGTGGCCAAGAATTTAAGTAAATGTTAACTTCTGTATAAATTGATACTAACTGTTTTGTTTTTTAGGCTGTCTTGGCGTTTCACTTGTAAAAATTCTGAAACATTTTTAGATATAATCAAGTTGTAAGTTATTGTAATGTCTAGAGAGAGTGTTTTTGAGAACATGGGTTCAACTTGTTGGATTCTTCAGGAGCTAGAAGTCCAGTTAAGATCAGCTGAAAAAGTGAGATTTGAAGTACCTAGAAACTTTTTGACGGTTAGTATTAATTTGCTTTTCTGATGGTTGATGCTTTTTCGACGGCTCCCGGTTAAATTTTTGGCCGTTTGACTTCTGACGGTTAACCCCCGGCCATTGAGACCCTCATAACAGTGAGGCCATATCGAGTTGCCCCAAAATTGTGTTTCAAAGCGAGGCTAGGTAAAACCGTTGACATGAAAATGACTTTTTATCCTAATGTAAATAAAACTCACTTTCACAAGAAACTGGTTTCGAACTTAGCCTCTTTTGTAAAGTGCGAGTTTTTGTAACTCGGAAAGGCCGAACCTTCTACAGATTAGTTCTTTTTAACAGCGGCCATATTGTTATGTGTATGTGCACTACAAAACTACTGAATTACCTTAATTCATTTGACTGACACAAACTGTTTTATAATTAATATAAAGGATTGTATTTTTGCTAGCTTACGTTTAAACAGAGAAGATCCGGGAATTAAATCATCCACTTTTTGCGCATGGCCCGTGACGTCTCGATTTTGTTCAAGTTTTAATGGCACAGCTAAAATGTAAACAAAAAATATTTGACAAGGAGAATTTAAAAATTTTTTTAATCTCGAT